CTCAGGTGCGGGTGATGCTGCGCTCTCAGGTACCACGTTGGCTTCGGCCTCCCTCACCTTTACACTTGACTCTGGGGCTTCTCGCTCCTTCTTTCGGGACCACACCACACTCACGCCGCTTGGTCGGCCTGTTGCAGTCTCCCTAGCTGACCCCTCTGGGGGTCCTGTCCTCTCTCACTTTTCCACTGTCCTCCCGTGTCCGGCTGCCCCCTCAGGCACCCTGTCTGGCCTGTACCTCCCCTCGTTCTCGACGAACTTGGTGAGTGGTGCAGACCTGCAGGATGCGGGGGTTCACCAGTTCACTCCTGCGAGTCAGCGGGTGACCCATTGCACGGACGCACGCACAGGCCGGCACCTGGCCACGTTCTCGCGTCGGCCGGGGTCGAGCCTCTACACCCTGACCACTGAGTCTCCTCCTGTCCCTGCGTCCGGTCAGGTAGCAGCGTCAGGTCAGGTGTTTGCTGCTGCGTCCAGGTCTGGTCCTGAGTCTGCCCCCTGCTCGTGTCGCCTCTTGTCTCACGAGACTCTCCTGTGGCACCACCGTCTTGGCCACCCCTCCTTGCCCCGTCTTCGGGGCATGGCTTCCCGTGTCCTTGTCTCTGGTCTTCCCCAGTCTCTCCCTCCCCTTCCTTCGGGACCAGGACCTTCCTGTGTCCCCTGTGTCGAGGGGCGCCTCAGGGCTGCTCCTCACTCCTCCCAGTTTCCCCCGACAGAGGCTCCTCTGCAGACACTTCACATGGACGTGTGGGGCCCGGCCCCCGTCCGTGGGCAGGGTCACGAGCGCTACTTCCTGTTGGTGGTTGACGACTACTCGCGTTACACCACAGTCTTCCCCTTGCGCAGCAAGGGTGCTGTCACTGAGGTGCTGATCGACTGGATCCGCGAGGCTCGTCTCCAGCTCAGGAGGAGCTTCGGCTCGGACTTTCCTGTTCTGCGTCTGCACTCTGACCGAGGTGGGGAGTTCTCCTCTCGCCTTCTGCGAGACTACTGTCGTGCACAGGGGATCCGCCAGACCTTTACGCTTCCGGACTCTCCACAGCAAAATGGGATTGCTGAGCGCCGCATTGGCATGGTCATGGATGTCGCTCGTACGTCCATGATGCATGCGGCTGCCCCCCATTTTCTGTGGCCGTTTGCGGTTCGGTACGCGGCGCATCAGCTCAACCTTCACCCCAGGGTCTCTCGGCCCGATATGTCCCCAGTGTTACTGTGGACGGGGAAGGTCGGCGATGCGTCTGCGTTCCGTGTCTGGGGATCTCGGGCGTTTGTCCGCGACTTGTCTGCGGACAAGCTGTCCCCCCGTGCTGCTCCCTGTGTCTTCCTTGGCTTCCCCCCTGACGCTCCAGGGTGGCAGTTCTACCACCCCTCCTCTCGTCGTGTTCTGTCCTCCCAGGACGTCACGTTCGACGAGTCAGTCCCCTTCTACCGCCTCTTCCCCTACCGTACTCCTTCCCTCCCCCCCCCACCGGACTTCCTGGTGCCGGTTCCCCCCCCGGTAGACCCCCTCCCCCCTCAGGTTCCTGCCCCTTCAGGTGTGTCCCAGGTAGACACAGTCGAGCCAGTCGAGGTTGCTGCTGAGTCTGGTCCTGCTGCGGGTGCAGAGTCTGGGGGTGCTACGCCTGCGGGTGCTGAGCTTGGGGGTGCTGAGCCTGGGGGTGCGAGGCCGGGGGGTGCTGAGCTTGGGGGTGCTGCTGCTGGGGGTGCTGAGCCGGGAGGTGCTACATCCGGAGCTGCTGAGCCTGGGGGTGCTGAGCCTGGAGGTGCGGAGCCTGCGACTGCTGGACCTGGGGGCTCTCCGGTTGCTCCGTCTCGGCGGGAGCCGCTCTCTCCACAGGAGCTGCGCGAGTGGTTTGCTCGCCGCTGGAGGCGTGCTGCTGGAGCTGGAGCTCCTTCGACTGCTGAGGGTGCTGGTGTTGCCGGTCCCGGAGCTGCTGGGCCTGCGGGTCCTACTGGAGCTGGAGCTGCTGAGCCTGGGGGTGCTGAGTCTGGAGCTGCTGAGCCTGGGGGTGCTGAGTCTGGAGCTGCTGAGCCTGGGGGTGCTACGTCTGGAGCCGCTGAGCCTGGGGTTTCTCCTGGTGCTGCGTCTCGACGGGAGCCCCTCTCTCCACAGGAGCTGCGCGAGTGGTTTGCTCGCCGCTGGAGGCGTACTGCTGGAGCTGGAGCTTCTTCGACCGTCGAGGGTACTGGTGCCGCCGGTCCCGGAGGTGCTACGCCTGCGGGTCCTACTGGAGCTGGGGCTGCTAAGGGCGTTGGTGCTGAGTCTGCTGCTATCTGTCCTGACGGTGGTTCTGCTGCTGGTGCTGCTGGAGGTCCTGCCGCTGGAGGTGTTGGTGGCACTGGTGCTGCCGCTGAGGGTGCTGGTGCTGTCCCTGCTGAGTCTGGAGCTGCCGCGCGGCCTCGGCCGTACTTCGTTCCGCTTCTGCAGCAGGTTCTTGGTCATTCTCCTCCGGTAGAGTGTCCACAGCCTGTCCAGTCGCAGTCACTGTTGGAGCCTACCTCCCCACTGCCTGCTCCCTCTCCTTACACTGGTCCTACTGGAGGTCTTGCTGAGCGTCGTGAGCCTGCGTCTCGTCCCGCGTCGCCTGTTCGTGCTGCCCGCGCTAGTGGTCGTGGTTCGCGTCCGCGTCCTCCTCCTGTCCCTGGCACGCACCGGATGTCTCTGCGTCCGTCCACTGCTCCTCTGCGTGCCCTTTTGCCTTCTCCTCCTGAGTCCTCCCTTCCTGTGCTTACCGACCCAGAGTCGGACTCCCTTCGTGCTGCCAGTCCTACTGTCACGCGTCTGCTTGCTACTGTCGTCACTGACCCCTCTTTTGAGTCCGCTGCTGCGTCTGCTCTTGTCGCTGAGCTCGTCGACTTTGCTGCTCGCTGTCGTCTAGACTACGCTGCTAGTCTTGTTGCTGAGTCTACGTCTGTCTGTCCTCCGTCCGTCGGGGGTGAGTGTGCTCTTGGCACGGACGTCCTAGAGGACAAGCAGGAGGAGTTCCAGTGTCTGGCTGCTGCTTCACCTCATCTCGCGTCTGTACTGCTTGCTCCTGAGGGAGACCCGGATGCACTAGACATCCCGACTCCGCGCTCTTACGCGGAGGCCGTAGAGGGTCTCTACTCCTCTCAGTGGCAAGCAGCTATGGATGCAGAGATGGCTTCCTGGAAGTCCACAGGCACCTACGTTGACGCGGTTCCCCCTCCTGGGGCGAACATCGTCAGTGGCATGTGGATCTTCTGGGTGAAGCGGCCGCCGGGCTCTCCACCTGTCTTCAAGGCGCGGTACGTGGCTCGTGGCTTCAGTCAGCGGCAGGGAGTTGACTACTTTCAGACCTTCTCTCCCACCCCGAAGATGACCACTCTTCGGGTGCTGCTGCACATAGCCGCTCAGCGCGACTACGAGCTTCACTCTCTCGACTTTAGTACTGCGTTCTTGCAGGGGAGCCTGCACGAGGAGATCTGGCTGCGCCGTCCACCTGGCTTCACTGGGACTTTCCCTCCTGGCACCCAGTGGAGCCTCCGACGGCCAGTCTACGGTCTCCGCCAGGCACCCCGTGAGTGGCACGACACACTGAGGACTACACTTGCGGCCCTTGGGTTTGCTCCTTCTACTGCTGACCCGTCGCTGTTTCTGCGCACCGACACTTCACTGCCGCCGCTCTACATCCTCGTGTACGTCGACGACTTGGTCTTTGCCACAGCTGACACTGCTGGACTCGCCTACGTGAAGTCCAAGCTGCTGAAGAGACACACGTGCACAGACCTGGGTGAACTGCGCAGCTACCTTGGCTTGCAGATCATCCGGGACAGAGCACGCCGCACCATTACCTTGACTCAGTCACACATGGTGCAGCAGGTCCTTCAGCGCTTCGGCTTCACGTACTCCTCGCCTCAGGCCACTCATCTGTCTACTCGCCACTCGCTCTCAGCTCTGCCTTTGGATGAGTCCGTAGAGTCGAGTGGCCCGTACCCAGAGCTTGTTGGCTGCCTCATGTACCTGATGACCTGCACACGACCTGACCTTGCATACCCTCTTAGCATTCTTGCACGCTATGTTGCTCCTGGGAGACACCGACCAGAGCACATGGCTGCAGCGAAGAGGGTATTGCGCTACCTGTGCAGTACGTCGGGCATGGGGCTAGTGCTTGGAGGGCGGAGTCCAGTGGTACTTACAGGTCACGCGGACGCTTCTTGGGCTGACGACCAGGCTACGCAGCGGTCGTCACAGGGTTACACCTTCAGCCTTGGCTCCGGCTCTTTCTCGTGGCGGGCTACTTGCTCGTCTTCGGTTCTCAGCTCGAGTTGTGAGGCTGAGATCTACGCAGGGGCCATGGCTGCACAGGAGCTTCGCTGGCTCACCTACCTGCTGACTGACCTTGGAGAGCCGCCTCGTTCTCCTCCAGTGCTGTACGTAGACAACAAGGCCATGCTGGCCTTGTGTCGAGAGCAGCGCTTGGAGCACAGAACGAAGCACATTGCTCTCCGCTACTTCCTTGCTCGTGAGCTACAGCAGCGTGGACAGTTGCGACTTGCGTACGTGGCCTCTGAGGCCAACACTGCTGATGTGTTCACCAAGGCACTCGCGCCTTGTGACCATCAGCGCTTCTGCACCCAGCTGGGTCTTGTGCCTGTCTTGCCTCACTTGCTCTCCTCTTGACTTTACTTGTACTGTCACATATATATACCTGCTCTTGCTTGTCTAGCTTTATATATATATATGTGTGTACTCCTGCATGTGAACTGGTCTTGTGGCCTTGCTCTTGTGCTCGGACTGTGTGGTGACTTTGTGATCCACCCTGAGCTTTGCTTTGCTTTGCTTGACTGGTCTTGTGACCCCTTGTTCTCCCCCACTTTGCCTATGGGGGTGTGTCAGAACATATATGTAGCTTATGCTGTTGTGTAGGCTACAGTGGGGTATACCATAGGGGGTACAACCCAATTAGGGTTTTGCTATTTGTACTCACTTCACTCATAGTTCATTCATTTCTCGTTCTATTTTCCACAGCCAGCTCTTTGAGATGCCTGTGCGTGGCTTCGTAGGGCCGCAGTACTCAAACGTGGGATTTAGGTACGGGTACATCGGCGTACAACCAGACCCCATGGTGCATGCACCCGCATCTGTTGCAACGCCTCCTGTCGCGCCGTCAACACCATTCCCCAACGCGATTCATCCGGAAAGCCAGCCAGCGGTGCAAGCCCCGCCATATCCTAGAGAAGCATTAGTTGTCGGTTTGGACACACGGGCGCGAAAAGACGACCCATCATCGAACGTGGTTGCCGGTGGTTTAGGGCGTGCGGTGAATGGTGGAGCGGGGATGAATGCAAGCGCGCGTGCACATTCGCCGCCAATATGGAACGTGAACTCACTGTTGCCCGGAAACCCCGACGTCCACATCCGCACCCCCGCGCATCCGACTGTAGCGTACGCGACTGGTGTAGGTGGGCAACCACAGGCAAACGCGGGGAACGCGGGGCGTGGAGCGGGTGCAAGCGGAAACGCGGTAAGGGGAAGAGGGATGGGTGCGAGAGGGAACGCGGGAAGAGGGACAGGGGAGAGAGGGAACACGGCTAGAGGGAGAGGTGCGAGACAAAGGGGTGGGAGAGCGAGCGCGGGACGTGGAACACGTGTGGGATCGAACGAGTATAGTGCGAACGGGCAGGGAGCGCATGGGGTGACATGTAACGACGGCAGGGGTAGCGGTGTTAACGTGAACGGCGGGTCACGTAACGGGCCAGTTAATAGACCGCGTATAAGGAGGCGGAGAGTCGATGTAGTGCCGCACGCAGCACGCAATGGCTCCTGGGAGGGGAGCGAGGGGGCAAGCGATGAGGATGACGAGGACTACGCTGACGATGCGGACGATAGTTGGAATGACGATGACCAAAACTACCTATCGAACTCGCTGTCCGCGCTCAACGAGGAGGAGGCGGAAGACAACGAACGGGTGCGGGGTACGCGGAGGGACATTGAGGTCCCTATCGCGGATTGGAACAGGCTAGGTGTGGACGACACGCCGGCCGCGAAACGAGAGATGTGCTTCGGAATCCTCTACAGTGTCTCTGAGGCCACGCTGAAGAAGTATCGCGGTTGGGCCAACGAGTACAAGCGGTTCATGGCTCACGAGCTGCCTAAACTGGACGCGGGTAGGTTTGGTGATGAGGCCGGGCTCGAACAGAACATGGGTGGTGACTGGAAGATGGCGGAGGTCGACGAGCAGTGGTTCCACGGCCCTGAGACGAATCCGTGGCGCTTACGCAAATACGTGACCTTCCTCGCGAACGAGACAGTCGCGCAGGCGTACAGGATGGCCACACTCAAGTGACCAGAGAAGACCTTGAAGAAGAGACGCCAGTGCACCCCAGCAATGCTGATGGGGCGTCTCAAGGCTTTGAACCTGCTCATCAAGCTGGACAGGGCCATCTTCAGAAAGCCCGTTCTGAACCTGCTGCGCGACTTTGCGGAGGGTTGCATCTGGGTCCGCGTTCAAGTACGCAACCAGTACAAGCGGTTTATCGCGTAAGTATACGTACTCAGTAAACGCGTTTAATGCCCAACAATACCGCGTCCACTAACACCCGCACTATCATCCCAATCGATGCGCTGGGAATCCATGGATCGACATCGGGGCACGATCGCGGACACGTACACTCCGGACGAGTTCAAGCATACGATACGGAAGACCAGCATGGACGCGATCTTGACCAGCTTCACACTAGCCAAGAAAGCATACACGCAGGCAATGCATCCCGACCTCTGCATACGGACAATGACCATGCTCGGTCATCACACTCTGGCCCGCGGATGCACGATCAGAAACCTGCAGCTGCCAGACATGATGATGTGGAAGCTCGGCGCAAAATCGGAGACCGATCCAGTGAGGAACGCGTTCATGTTTGTTTGCGCGTGCAGGACGGGCAAGACAAACAAGGACTTCTCGCTCAACTACATATCTGCTGTGAGGCACATAGATTGGACGCTGTGCGTGGTCGGAGCCACGCTGTTGTGGCTGCACTGGGTGTACGACTTGGTTCCCATTCTCTGCGAGGACATAGCCCCCCCTCTCGACTTCATGGAACCCTCGACGTGGTATGATTAATACCTGTTCTTACCCCTTCGCACGGGCAACGAGAAGCAAATACCGCCCACAACTCATCACGACTGGGCGGTAAAGATTCTCCAGGACGCGGGAATCACATGCTCGCGTGCGGTACACGCGACCAGGGCTGGGGGGGCGCAGCACGCGTCCGCGGATGGAATGCCTTCGGATCAGCTGGCGAGGCTGGGGGGTTGGCGCTTCATCGACGTGATGACTAAGCACTACCTCACAACCATTCCGAGGGAGGCCGTGCTGCTGAAGGCGGGCTTCACCGGGGTTGACGGTGACTACTTCCTGGGTCGCGCAACTGTTCCGGTTAGCGATAAGCTAGATGAGCTACTTAGGAAGCACATTTTCCCATGGGCCGCCGCGGACAAAGGACAGCAACAGGTATGTGTGGGCCGCTCATACGCGACCACGAGCATCCCACATAACCCTCTGGCACCGCGTTCACTACCGCGTTGTTTTATTGTCACAGTGCAATGATTACAACCGCAGGATGGTGAAAAAGCAGAAGCTGGAGAAGCGGGACACCGCGGGGCTAAACATACTGAAGGAGCTGGATGGGGACGCTAGGATGGCGGTCGCGCAAGACCTGGCGATGTATTACATCCACCAGCCGCGACACCTGTACATGGTCAACAACCCACACTGCCAGACGGAGGAATTTGCGTCGTGGGCTGCAGATGCCTCATTGGCAAATCAACTCGCCATAGTATAGCACAATACACCTACACTGACCCAGCCCGCAGTAAGTACTGCATGGTCGCGTTATCTTTCGGCTGTGATGTCAATGCCAAACCATAACAAGTTCGCGGTCCCTTTCTGTCCATGCAGGAGGTGAGTACTTGAATGGACGCGCAGAACCAAGTGACCGTCCTCAATGAGTACCTGACTCGTTCATAAGTGGACAACACCAGACTGGGCCTAGAGTTGGTCGCGACTCGTAAACGGGTGAAAGAGCTGGAGGATCGCGATCGGAAGCTGGCCGCGAAGGACGAGCACATGAATGATTTGGAGGCCCAGTTTTCGCAGTTCACCGTGAGCAGCTCAGGGCCGACCGCGGATACGAACCAGGCAACCACTCCTGGAGCCGCGGCCGCGCCGACCAAAGCCACAACTCCCACCGAGCAGGGGACACGGAAGAAACCCGCACCGCCCACTAGGGAACAGACGATTCGGGACGCGATCGTCCTTCCATGGGTCAACGCCACCAAACCGTTAGACGGATGGAAGTTGTACAAGACAACGCACCCACTGATCCGCGAGAGTCCACAGTCGCTTCTGGCCCAGCCATGCGGCGCAGTTATGCGAATGGCCGAGCTCATTGGGGAGGAGGGAGGCGGCCAGAACGCGATAAACTGTGTCAAGCGAATCATGAACTTCATCGCCCACAGGGTGGAGCAAGGAGACGACATCGCGGTAGTGCTCGACAAGCTCGACCTCATGTCCGGAGCTGTAGGCATGTCGGGTGTATCGGAAGGGATCGCGGTAAAGAAGAAGAGTGTTGACCTGGAACTGAGCCAGCTCAAGAAGGGTTCTCCGGTGGAGGTGCAGTTGCGTGTGAAATGGATGCTTGTTCGCGACCGTCTCATCAATGCCTCTCTTCCCGCGTCTGAGTTCACGCTCACGTGGCCCCTGTACTGTGCGCTGATGCCAGAATTGCAGTAAATGGATTGACCCCGCTGTTGTTCGTCTTGATATCACCGTCTTCGGGTGCGATGTTATGGGTCCCTATAATCGACCGCGAGTGTTGTTGTTTTGCGCGAAGATAGTGCTGATTTACATCGCGGCCGTGGTCATCGCGGGCTGCTCTTGCCGAATGTACATAGATTGTTCGCGTCGTAGTGTGTACAATGATAATGTGTGGGAATACCTTAGTCGAATGTAGATTACTACTAAAATGGCACACGCGCAAACACAGGCACCCACCGAATCCTACAAACCTTCACACACAAAGTACGAGAATTAAGAACAGTCCACCGCGGGTATAACTCCAGCACATATTGTTCCAATTCTCACGCGCGCGCGCACATACATACACACACACGATATACTACATGCACACAGATCCGCAAGCCCAGCACAATCCACCGCGAGTAGAACTCAAGCATGGCGGACAAGCTGTGCACATGCTACGCGATCCTACACGCACTCAAGTCCGCTTCTTCAGAAGATCCTTGGGCAGGGCAAGGTACAAACCCAAGGACTCCATCTGCTTCCCTGCCACCGAGCATTCGCACCAGGTGATGATAACGTCCACCGTTTCGCGGGCGGCCAACTCAATGTGCCTGAGATCGCGAGACTTTGCAACGACCTCGTTCACGACTCCAGACACGATCGCAGCGGCGACCGCCTTCGGGTCCGCGACAACCTGTGGCTCATCTTCATCAGCCTGCTAATGTTCGCGGCGATTGCACTCCCGCACCGCATTGATGACGTACGCGGATACTACGGGGAAGAGACGGCTTCGCTCTCCATAGCAACCAGCAGCACGCGCGGCGAGATTTCCATTATCTGCTGCGGCAATGATGTTAGAACTGCGAGTGACCTCCCACACCATTGCAATGGCGCATGCGATCGCTCTCGCGTAGTCTGTCGGCTCCACATCGCCGAGATCCGCTTCTTCTGCTGCACCGTCCTTGCCTACCACCGCGGCCCATGCAATCACGTTGGTGGTATGCATTCCGGGCTTGGTTAGCCCGCGATATGAATCGAACATGCGTTGCCACCTGCCACGCAGTGGGTTGGAGCGGCCAAAACATGAGAACATACCAAACCGTATGAACGCACTAGATGGTGGTGGATCGGCACAGCTCACCTGTCCTTGCTTGCCACGAGGTTGCGGTAGTGCATGGTGATTAAGAGGCCCATATGTAACCCCTCGGCGATGGATAGGTCCGCGGCCCATTCTCGGATCTGCTGCTGGCTCAGGTTCAGCTCGGGGTCGACCTTCCCGTCGTAGGGATACATCGCGATCGCGGTCCTGTACTGCAGGTCTTGGCGGTCGGCGTGTCCAAGCCATCGCTTCTTCCCCCCTATATGGGGTTCAGAAACCAATCCGGGCCCGCCCCTAGGTGGAGCGCGGATGCCACAGCCCCTGCGATTGGGGCCGGTATCACCATGTCCTCCCGTTGTGCCACCTTCCACGATCACGGGGTCTCCGTCTTGCTCGTCCGCGCTCTCCCCGGCGCAATTAACATCGACCGCGGCCTCCCCACCCTGCTCTCCTCCGTCGCCCGCCTCGACCCACCTGCTCATGAGACCCTCCAGCTCCGTATCCGCCTTGTCCTCGTCGATCGTGTACACGGGTGGAGGGGGCAACTTCTTGCCACCCCGTCCGCGTTTCTCCGCCTTGACCTCGACCGAGGCCGCGATAGGACCTGCAGATGCCAGTGCGCTGTGCAGATTTCCCGTGGTGATTACAGCACGAGCGGGTGCGAGCGTGGTCTGCCTGCCCTCTGCCGCAGCAGCCGCTGCGGACTGGACATCACGCCTCGAGGCCAGCGAACCTGCAGTTGCCGGCGCCTCTCCATCCTCCGCCTTACCCTTGCCCCTTGCCCCTCACTGTCGCGGTTGCCCCGGCAGGGCCCGGTGGTTTGGGTACAGCTTCTCCAGGTGTGATGGAGCGCGAGCTCGAACCCGGTTGACCAGGCGGTGCTGCACTTCGCGTTGCAGCGCCCCACTTCTGCTTCAGCATGTCCTACACGCTCGGATTGCGCACTGCGGCCGCTGCCTGGGGACCTCTCTAACTCTTCACCCCCCGTTGATTCTCCGCCTTCGCACCCGCTGCCCACTTTCCATGCTCTGCATCCCCGGGCTCGGCAATCTCCGTCGCGGCCATTCCTTCATTATCCGTGCGCGGCGGGGGGGGTCCTCCAACGAGCGCGATGAGGGTGTGCAGCGCGTTCGTGACCCCGCTGGTGGTGATTGCCCGCTCTGCTATCGCGGAGACCGCGGTCGACATGTTGTCGAACTTCCCGCAACCTCGTCCATCAGCTTCTTCTGAGCGGCTTCCATGGAGTCTGCCACCACCCCCTGCAGCTGTCCCAGCCTCGCGTCCACTCGCCTCAGCACCAACGCCTCCTGGTTACGCGTATCGACCAGGGCCGCCCTTTCCTGCGCAATCGCCCGCGCCTCCTTCTCCAACACCCAAACCGCATTAGCAAGCGCGGACGCAAGCTCCTCAGAGCCCACGACCGCGACCCCACCAACCCCCGACTCCTGGCGTTTCTTCAGCCGTGCGTTCTCTTCGGCCTGCGCTGCAAGCCTGCATTCGAGCTGCAGGATCTTGACAGCAAGCTTATGCGATGGCAACGAGGACAGGGACGCGTGATCATGCGGACCTGTCACGGGACTCTTGCCCGCGACCTCACCACTCGGGCCCGCGCTTCCAGCACCGGGGGCCAAGTGCTGCACGAGGTGCTTGATGCTCTTGCCGGATGTAGTGGGTCTGCTGGATGTCGCGGCCGCTACCACGTGAGCCTCCGCCTCCTCCTCACTCGACTCCTCCCCCTCACGCGCAACAGCGCGGTCAGCCTAATCGCGGGTTGCACCCTTAGTCGCGGTATCCTCGGCCCCTTCGTCATCAGCGTGGACCACCGTCCCCCCCCGAGCACCTCCGCGGTTCGAAACACCAGCGGCACCTGTGAGAGCGTGAACACCATGGTCAGCAACCTGCGCACCCGTTGCCACTTTCTGCACCTTCCCCGTTTCAGCACCTTCAGCCTCACCGCCGTGCTTGGGTCGCGTCAAATCCACGCTCAAGTTGAACGCGAGCTCTTCGGCGATTTGGTACGCCTCATGCCGCAGTGCATTCAGAGTCTTCGCGAATTGCGGCCCGGATCCACTGGCAGCGACCGCGTCCAACTGGGCAAGGATCTTGTCAAACGCGAACAGAAAAGCGAGATTGCCGCAGGAGCCCTTCAATGACGTCGCGTCCTGGGAAACGTTAAATGGGGTTTGTTAGCACCACTGCAACTATTGGCGGTCATCGAGAACACGTACACAACACAGACGTACCAGATCCAACAAACGCTCGGGATCCTTAAGCTGGCGGGAGCGAGTGCACTGAATGGAGTCGCGCACAAAATCCTCGTCAACGCGACCATGAAATCACCTGCCCAAAAGCACATACATATCCACGCGAACGCACGGTTAGCGACATGAGCCTCGGAGCGGAAATGAACATGGTACTGATGATAAACTAGTATGCGGTACTCACTCCACAATCGCATCTGCCGCGGTGACGTGTTCCGCACCACCAGTGGGAATAGCAACGCGAACAAACCGCGTGTTCCAAGTCTCGTCACCGTCAAGCGACAGGTGATCGGGGTGAAGCAGAATGAGCATGCTCGCGTTCGAGCGCTTCTTGTCGAACAAGTCCCTGAACATGCCATTGACGATTGCGTTAAACCACGTAAACAAGTGCATTCCCTGTACAAGTGAACACTCCCAATGAACACTCACTCGGACCAGATGCAAAAAACCACCAGGCTGCACTCCATCAAACCGGCAAAGGCTTGGACCGCTTCATCGCGACCCACGACTATGTCTTTGACAACACCGCTCGTCACGATTCGGATGTGCTCATGTACCTCCTTCTCTAGATACCTCCGGACAATCACGCTGTGCGGGACGGTGTAAAACACGGCGGGGAAAAGCTCAACCATAAACAACACGACCTAAAAGCACAGCGGAGGTATGCCGCGGCCTGCACTGCCCACTAGTAAATATTGCTGAAATTTCGCGAACAGCCTAAACACCGCGACCATAAACAACTTGTGCATATTGGAGTAAAGGAATGGAACGCATGGATCTCACCCGGTGACAAAGTCGAACAGACGGGCCGTGAGCGGATGCTTATCCTCATCGAGCAGCTTCCACTGTTCGGGGGGGAGGTCCACCGTGGCTCCTGCAACAGAGATGATGGCCGGACAGGAGGCGGCCTCCTTCGACCCAGCTCTAAGCACCTTCATTTCGCGGCTCATTACTAGTACGACCGCAAGAGCGCGACCAAAGGTACGGTGTATCTAGGACGAACGGTACGTGAAACAGTGCTCGTGTGTATCTAGGACGAACGGTATGCGAAACAGTGCTCGCGGCAGAAAATAAGAGCTAAGCTAGACGCTACCAAGCGCGAACGCAGCCAAGAAGAGTCTCTCCTAGCACTAGGCGATGAGGACCTCTACGTGGAACGGGCAAGTAAGAAGAAAACAATATGTGAAGACGGAGAACGAAAATGAGCACCAGGTGCCCGTACCGAGAACCTAAGAGATGGGCGAGAGGGAATCAAGAGACGGCACTCGCGGTCAAACTGCGCGGGCCTCTCATTACGCGCCGCTTCCGCAACATGCATGCTTGTACAGCCAACGTCCGCCACGTTGCACACCATCCGCGAGCCCCGTTCGGAGCGGGCTGCCAACTCCTGCGGAGAGCGAATTTTCCTCGTCGTGATCGCCGAGGTACGAGGTAACGATCAGGTACACCAATTTGGGTCACCCGAATTAACGCTACACTCCGTTATATTACACGTAAACTTGCACTTGAATATTTCCCCGATGCATTGGAGAGATTATTTCGTTTGATCTTTCGAATGGCGTACACTCCGCTCCGTAAATTTAATCTCAGCATGCTTTCCGCGAACAATTGTTCGCGAGGGTCTTGCGAGCATTCCGACGCTCGTAAACGACGGCGATTGGCCGGCTCCATTTCGGGCAGCACGGAGATGGCTTCGCACGCGCGCCGATTTGCCCGTCGCTCCAAAACCGGCTCCCATTGGCCGAATCCGTTTCGGCCAGCCCGAATTGTCATTCGGACGCGCGGATTGTCAGAACATTATAGCTTATACTTCTGTGTAGGCTGTAGTGGGGTAGCCCATAAGGGGTACAACCCAATTAGGGTTAGTACTTGTACCCAACGGTTTCATAGTTCAATCATTCTCGTTCTAATTTTCACATGGTATAGAGTAGGTTCCCCCGTGGGAACTGTTCCTAGGGCCCACCGACCTTTTTTTTTTTTTTTTTTTTCCCGGAGCGCGCTTGGCCCCTGCCCGAGTCGCACCCCGTGTGACTTCCCTCACGGCCCCTAGTGGCCCCGTCGCGCCGTCCTCACGGCCCCGTCAAGCCGCCCTCGCGGCCCTCTTCGAACCCCCCTCGCGGCCCCTTTCCTTGGCCCCGTCGCCGCCCTTTCAGTGGCCCCGTCGCCGCCCTTCCGTGGCCCCGTCGCCGCCCTTCCATGGCCTCCCCGCCCGCCCTTGCAGCGGCCCCGTCGCCGCCCTTCCGCGGCCCCAACGCCGCCCTTCCGCGGCCCCGTAGCCGCCCTTCCCCGGCCCCCCCACCCCCGTCGCCGCCCTCCAGCGGCCCCGTCGCCGCCCTTCCGCGGCCCCGTTGCCGCCCTTTCAGCGGCCCCGTCGCCGCCCTCTCAGCGGCCCCATCGCCGCCCACTTATTCAGTGGCCCCGTCACCGCCCTTCCGCGGCCCCGTCGCCGCCCTTCAGCGGCCCCGTCGCTGCCCTTCCGCGGCCCAGTCGCCGTCCTTTCAGCGGCCCGTCGTCGCCCTTTCAGCGGCCTGCCGCCGCCCTTTCAGCAGCCCCATCGCCGCCCTTCCACGGCCCTGTTGCCGCTCAGCCGCCCAGCGCCCGAGCCGCCAAGCAGCCCAACCGCCGAGCAGCCAAGCCGCCGAGCAGCCGAGCCGCCGAGCAGCCGAGCCGCCCGACCGCCGAGCCACGCAGCAGCCGAACCGCCGAGCTGCTGAGCCGCACCGCAGCCGAGGCGCTGCCGCCTGTCGGCCTGCCCGGGACTGCCCCACTTGCCTGGTAAGAGCAGCGCCTCTGCCACTGCACTGCCCTGCCCCACTGTACTCACTGCCTGTCTACTGCTGTCATGGCCTCCCCTAGTGTTCTCACCTTTGACGCTGAGGGTCGGGCAGTTGACTTTGAGGTCTGGGTAGATGATCTGCAGCTTTTCCTACAATGCGATAGGGCAGACGGTCTCTCCCTGTTTGACCTCACTTCTGGTGCCTCTCTTGCCCCTGCTGCTGATGCTGACGCCACTGTTCGCTCACAGTGGGCCACGCGTGATGCTGCTGCTCGCCTTGCTGTGCGCCGCCACTTACCGACCACTGAGCGTGCATACTTTAGCCAGTACAAGAGTGCTCAGACCTTGTACGACGCTGTAGTTGCACACTACTCTTCCCCTGCCACTGCTGCACTGAGCCGCCTCATGCTACCATACCTCTTCCCTGATCTTTCTGCCTTTCCCACAGTCGCTGACCTCATTACGCACCTCCGCACTAATGACACTCGCTACCGCGATGCGCTTCCTGCTGAGTTCTGCGCCAAGAACCCACCCCCCCCATGTACATCACCCTCTACTACATAGTCACCCAGCTCCCTGACTCTCTCCGCACAGTCAGGGACCACTTCCTCGCAGTTTGCCCCACCACTCTCACCGTTGACCTCCTCGAGAATGCCCTCCTAGTGATAGAGAAGAGCATAGTCGTTGTAGGAGCCTCTCGTGGTGACCCTCGCACCCCTGTCTTTGAGGGGTGTTCTCCCTCCCCCCTCTTGCCCTCTGTTGCCTCTGCTGTTGCGGCCGACCTTGTTGGTTTCGAGTCGTTCAGCGCTGCGTTTGCCCCGAGCGGGAAATGCCGCACCAGCAAGGGCAAGGGGGGCAAGGGCGCTGGAGGGGGTGGAGGGGGCGGTGGAGGTGGTGGTGGAGGCAGTAGAGGGAGTGGGGGTGGTGGTGGGAGTGGTCCCACTCCACAGCAGTGGAGGCGGCGGAGGCGGTGGTGGTGGCGGAGGGAGCGGAGGCGGCGGAGGTGGCAGAGGAGGCGGAGGTGGAGGAGGCGGCGGAGGCGGTGGCGGCGGCGGCGGTGGTGGAGCGGGTCATGACTTTGTGTAGAGGAGTGGCTCCGGTGGTGGTCTGCGCCAGCAGCAGCGGAATGGTGTGACCCTGTCCCCTCAGCAGCTTCGTGAGTGGTACACTGCGCGTCAGCGCGGTGGGGGTTTTGGTCCTTGCGCTTACGACCTCCGTACCGGCGACCGAGCTGGTGAGCAGTGCGGAGGCCTGCACTCCACCCAGCGCTGCTTCGATCGCGTGATGGACGCGTGGCGTCGCCAGTTCCCTGAGGCGTCAGAGATCCCTCCCTGGGGAGATCTGTCTAAGGCAGGGGTTGCCGTCTTTGATCTTGACTATGATGCTATCCTTGCTGCCATGTATTCTATGACTACTAGTGTTGAGGATGACTGTTACCTGTGTGTACCGCCTGACCCGGGCATTGAGGCTACTGCTCTAGGTACTGGTGAGGCTGCTGCTCTAGGTGCTAGTACGTCTGCTGCACCAGGTGCCAGTGCGTCTGCTGCCCCAGGTGCTGGTGAGTCTGCTCTCTCAGGTACTACGCCGGCTCAGGCCTTCCACACCTTCACTCTTGACTCGGGTGCGTCCCGCTCCTTCTTTCGAGACTGCACCACTCTTACGCCGCTCAGTCGGCCGGTTGCAGTCTCCCTGGCAGACCCCTCTGGGGGTCCTGTCCTTGCTAGCTTCTCCACTGTCTTACCGTGCCCGGCAGACCCCTCTGGCACCCTGTTAGTTCTCTACCTCCCCTCGTTCTCTACAAACTTGGTGAGTGGAGCGGACCTACAGGACAGGGGGGTTGACCAGTTCACTCCTTCGAGTCAGCAAGTGACCCACTGCACGTGTGCTCGGACAGGCCGACACTTGGCCACGTTCACCCGTCGGCCAGGATCGAGCCTGTACTACCTTACTACTCAGTCTCCTCTGACTGTTGAGTATGCACAGGTAGCTGCGTCGAGTCAGGTGTTTGTTGCAGCATCCAGGTCTGGTGCTGAGTCTGCTCCCAGCTCGTGTCGTCTGCTCTCCCACCAGACTCTCCTTTGGCACCACCGCCTTGGTCACCCCTCCCTGCCTCGTCTCCGAGGCATGGCCTCCCGTGTCCTTGTCTCTGGTCTCCCTCGGTCTCTCCCTCCCCTACCTCCGTGGCCTGGCCCTACCTGCGTCCCCTGCGTTGAGGGGCGACAGCGCGCCGCCCCTCACTCCTCCGAGTTTCCTCCGATAGAGGCTCCGCTGCAGACTCTCCACATGGACGTGTGGGGCCCAGCCCGCGTCAGTGGGCAGGGGTGCGAGCGGTACTTCCTGCTGGTGGTTGACGACTACTCGCGTTACACCACAGTCTTCCCCTTGCGCAGCAAGGGTGACGTCACTGAGGTGTTGATCGACTGGATCCGCGCAGCTCGTCTCAACCTCAGAGAGAGTTTCGGCTCGGACTTTCCTGTTCTGCGTCTGCACTCGGACAGAGGCGGGGAGTTTTCCTCTGCCTGTCTGGGAGCCTTCTGTCGTGCACAGGGCATCCGCCAGACCTTCACGCTTCCGGCCTCTCCATAGCAAAATGGGATTGCTGAGCGCCACATTGGCATGGTCATGGACGTCGCTCGTACGTCCATGATATATGCGGCTGCCCCCCATTTTCTGTGGCCGTTTGCGGTTCAGCACTCAGCGCATCAGCTCAACCTTCAGCCCCGGGTCTCCTTGCCAGAGACCTCCCCCGCCTTGCGGTGGACCGGGAAGGTTGGCGATACGTCTGCGTTTCGGGTCTGGGGATCTTGGGCGTTTGTCCGCGACTTGTCTGCGGACAAGCTTTCCCCCCGTGCTGTTCCCTGCGTCTTCGTTGGCTTCCCTCCTGATGCGCCTGGGTGGCAGTTTTACCACCCCACCTCGCGTCGTGTTCTGTCCTCCCAGGACGTCACCTTTGACGAGTCGGTACCTTACTACCATCACTTCCCCTACCGCACTGCGCCTCTCCCCCCACCGCCGCTCACCTTGCACCAAGTCCTCTCCCGGTAGACCCCCTTCCCCCTCAGGGTCCTGCCCCGTCAGGTGTGTCCCATGTAGACGAAGTCGAGCCTATCAAGGTAGCTCTTGACTCTGGTGCTGCTAGAGGTGCTGAGCTTGCGAGTGCGGAGTCTGGGGGTGCTGAGACTTGGGGTGCTGAGTCTGGGGGTGCTGAGCCTGAGGGTGCTGGGTCTGGGGGTGCGGAGCCTGGGGGTGCAGAGCCTGGAGGTGCGGAGCGTGGGGGTGCCGAGCCTGGGGGCGCTGGGTCTGCTCGTGTGGCCGCCGGCGGTGCTTCGTTGAGGAGGGAGCCACTCTCTCCACAGGAGCTGCGCGAGTGGTTTGCCCACTGCTGGAGACGTGCTGCTGAGACTGGGGGTGCTGCTGGGGCTACTGGAGTTGGTCCTGCTGGAGCTGCTGGCGGTACTAGTGCTGCTGGAGCTGGAGCTGCTGGGGGTGTTGGCGCTGGTGTTTCTACTGGCGCTGGTGTGTCTGGGGGTGCTGCTGAGGCTGCTGGAGCTGACGGTCCTACTGGAGTTGGTGCTGCTGGAGCTGGAGCTGCTGGGGGTGTTGGCGCTGGCGTTGCTGCTGGCGCTGGTGCTTCTGAGGGTGCTGGAGTTGGCACTGTTGGAGCTGGAGGTGCTGCTGACGCTGGTGCTGCCGCTGGGGGTGTTGGTGCCGTCCTTGCTGGTTCTAGAGGCGCTGAGCGGCCGAGGCCGTACTTCGTTCCGCTCCTGGAGCACGTTCTTGGTCTCCCGCCCTCTCCTGGTCCTGCTCCTTCCTTAGAGTGTCCACAGCCTGTCCAGTTGCAGTCACAGTTACAGCCCGCCTCCCCTCTACGTGCTCCTTCTCCCTACACTAGTCCTACTGGAGGTCTTGCTGAGCGTGGTAAGCATGCGTCTCGTTCTGCGTCGCCTGTTCGTGCTGCTCGCACTAGTGGTCGTACTGCGCGTCCGCGTCTTCCTGCGGTCCCCGGCACACACCAGATGGCGCTACGTCCTTCCACCGCTCCTTTGTGTGTCCCGTTGCCGTCTCCTCCAGAGTCCTCTCTTCCTACTCTTGCTGACCCGGAGTCTTACTCCCTTCGTGCTGCTAGTCCTTCGATCACGCGTCTCCTTGCTACTCTTGTCACTGACCCTTCCTTTAAGTCCACTGCTGCGTCTGCCCTAGTTGCTGAGCTTGTCGACTTCGCTTCTCGCTGTCATCTAGACTACGCTGCAAGTCTCGTTGCTGAGTCTGAGTCTGTCAGTCCTCCTTCCGTCGGGGGTGAGTGTGCTCTTAGCACGGACGTCCTTGAGGATAGGCAGGAGGATTTCCAGTGCTTTGCTACTGCTTTGCCCCATCTCGTGTCCACGTTGATTGCCCATGAGGGAGACCCGGATGCACCAGACATCCCGACTCCTCGATCGTACGCTGAGGCGATCGAGGGTCCCTACTCCTCTCAGTGGCAGTCACCCATGGACGCAGAGATGGCTTCCTGGGATCCACACGCACCTACGTCGACAAGGTTCCCCCACCTGGGGCGAACATCGTCAGTGGCATGTGGATTTTCAGGGTGAAGCGGCCGCCGGGTTCCCCGCCTGTCTTCAAGGCGCGTTACGTGGCTCGAGGCTTCAGACAGCGGCAGGGAGTTGACTACTTTCAAACCTTCTCTCCCACCCTGAAGATGACCACTCTTCGGGTGCTGCTGCACATAGCCGCTCAGCGCGACTACGAGCTTCACTCTCTTGACTTCAGCACAGCTTTCTTGCAGGGTAGCCTGCACGAGGAGATCTGGCTGCGCCGCCCACCTGGCTTCATTGGGTTGTTTCCTGCTGGTACCCAGTGGAGCCTTCGGCGGCCAGTCTACGGTCTCCGCCAGGCGCCCCGTGAGTGGCACGACACACTGAGGACTACACTTGCGGCTCTTGGGTTTGCTCCTTCTACAGCCGACCCGTCGGTGTTTCTGCGCACCGACACCTCTTTGCCGCCGTTCTACATCCTCGTGTACGTCGACGACTTGGTCTTTGCCACTGCTGACACTGCTGGACTCGCCCACGTGAAGTCCGGGCTGCAGAAGAGACACACATGCACAGACCTGGGTGAAATGCGCAGTTACCTTGGCTTGCAGATCACTCGGGACAGAGCACAGAGCACCATTACCCTGACTCAGTCACACATGGTGCAGCAGGTCCTTCAGCGCTTCGGCTTCACGTACTCCTCGCCTCAGGCCACTCCTCTGCCTACTCGCCACTCGCTCTCAGCTCTGCCTTCGGATGAGTCCGTAGAGTCGAGTGGCCCGTACCCAGAGCTTTTTGGCTGCCTCATGTACCTCATGACCTGCACACGACCTGACCTTACATACCCTCTTAGCATTCTTGCACGCTATGTTGCTCCTGGGAGACACAGACCGGAGCACATGGCTGCAGCGAAGAGGGTGTTGCGCTACTTGTGCAGTACGTCGGGCATGGGGCTAGTGCTTAGAGGGCGACGTCGAGTTGTCCTCACAGGTCACGCTGACGCTTTTTGGGCTGACGACCAGGCTCTGCAGCGGCCGTCACAGGGTTACACCTTCAGCCTTGGCTCCGGCTCTGTTTCGTGGTGGTCTACCCGCTCGTCTTCTGTTCTCAGCTCCAGCTGTGAGGCTGAGATCTACGCAGGGGCCATGGCTGCACAGGAGCTACGCTGGCTCACCTACCTGTTGACTGACCTAGGAGAGCTGCCTCGTTCTCCTCCAGTTCTGTACGTAGACAACAAGGCCATGCTGGCCTTGTGTCGGGAGCACAGACTGGAGCACAGAACGAAGCACATTGCTCTCCGCTACTTCCTGGCTCGTGAGCTGCAGCAGCGTAGTCAGCTCCGCCTCACCTACGTGGCCTGTGAGGCCAATACTGCTGATATCTTCACCAAGGCCCTTCCACCTTGTGATCATCAGCGCTTCAGTACTTTGCTAGGTCTTGTGCCTACCTGGCCTCACTTGCTCACTTCTTGATCTTGTTTGTACCGTACTCTTTCTATACCTGCACTTGCTTGTTTACCTTGATATATATGATATTGCATGTGAACTGACCTTGTGGCCTTGCTCTTGTGCCCGGACTGTGTGGTGACTTTGTGATCCACCCTGAGCTTGCTTTGTTTTGCCTGACTGGTTTTGTTACCACTTGTTCTCCCCCACTTTGCCTATGGGGGTGTGTCAAAACATTATAGTTTATACTTCTGTGTAGGCTGTAGTGGGGTAGCCCATAAGGGGTACAACCCAATTAGGGTTAGTACTTGTACCCAACTGTTTCATAGTTCAATTATTCTCGTTCTAATTTTCACACGGATTTGCATGCGAAATGCTTCGCGAGGGTTCTTTGAGGGACAGACCACTCGGAAAGGGCTTCGATTGGCCGGATCCGTTTCGACGCGCTGGGGTTCGGCCCTCGCCCTCAGATTGGAGAGCGATGGGTTTCGCGAGGGGTTTCGCGAGCCAGGGCTGGGCCCGGGGGGGCCCGGGGTTGAGACCACGCTGTGTGGCGCTGGCGTGGCCCAGGCTCGGCGCGGGACCACCCCGCCAGCTTGCTCCGCCGCCCGGATCTCGCTAGGGAACCTGGGAGGGGGCGGGGGGCTCCCTCTCGCGTGCGATTCCCAGTTGGGGGTCGCGACACACTAGGCATTCGCGTGCGGCCCTGGTGGAAACCCGTTGCCACCAAGAGGGGGCCCTGGTGAGAACCAACCCACCAGGGCCCAGATGGACTGTTGAAATCTTAGCGACACGAAAAAACATGTTTTCATGACTGTTTGTGATTCCACAAAATTCCAGTGGGTGCCCGAGTTTCGGAGGGAAAGGGCGGGAAAATCGGTTTGGGGGGGCGGGCGCAAACGAAGTCCATCTAATGAAGGGAAACGCCCACGTAGCAAAGGGGAAGAAATTCTGGTTAATTTAATTAAGAAAAACACAATTTTTGCCAATGCACGCAATTTCTCCCTGTAAATCACTTGTCCCTCAGGTTCCCCCCACTCCCCCCCCATCTTCCCTAGCCCCCCTCAACCACCCCCTTCTCCCCCACTCCCCCCTTGGTCAGCCTTGATTCGAGTGTGCGCCTGCGGTGACCCGCCTGATTCCACCTCCCCAGCCCCCCTTCCGCCCTCCCTCCCCCTCCGCGCTCCTTCTCGTCGGCGCATTTGCCTTGAAATCTTCGGCTCGTTCTTGTACAGTTGTGCTGTGCCGTACAAAATGTTGTACACGCACACCAACCTTGAGATTGTCGAGACTTGAGTGGACCAGAAATTAGTGGTTGTATCGTCTGTCATTCCAAGATAAGCTTGATGTCATTCTGATGCGTAGCTCCGTCGACCATCACGTAGCGCAATTATGGTGATACCTAGACGGAATCGACGCCGCTTAGCGGGCGCTGCGAGCCAGGGTCATGGCGAGCGATCGTCGTTGTTTCAATTCAGCCACGTGGCACGGAGCAAGCGATTTTGGCTGATCTGCATCTCGCTAGTGGCGGGATATAACCTCCTCGTCATGAACCTCGCAGGTCAAACGCTCGCTTTAAGTTTCACCCATGCTTCCACTCTGTTAGCTGATCGCGACTCGCTTTTAGCGGTTTTTTCGACCCATATCTTTGGATGAAGCTACCGTATATCAGGATCTGCCGCCAAATCCGGCCAGATAAGATTGAATGAGAGTAGCGAACAGTAGCATAACGTCGCAACACCGTTTCCGTCTCATCATCACACTTCTGTCTAAACCTTTCTCACACCATTTCCGCCCCACTTTTTCGCACCCCAAGTTAATCCATGGCGAATTGTCTCTAATTTCAAGCCGTCCCTCCTGTGCCTTTTCCTGTACAAAGAACTGAAATTGAGCCCGGATGAAGCCGAAGCGTTCTTATCTGTTGCGTCTTTAAATTCTATAACATCATTCCTAACCCGCTTGTTTCACCCCTCTCAACCCCTCCGATTCTATCAGGTCGGGAGGTGGACAGTCCTCCTCTCCGCGTGTGGTCCTTCCTATTGGGCGGAAGTGACGTGGAGCGCGTACCTGGCGACCCCGCATTGGCTGACGAGCCCACCGCTGACGTCACTACCAAGGCTCTGTACGACGAGATCGCGTTCGAGAACCTTCGGGGAGGCGTGTGGACGCAGGTGGGTGGGAGGCGTGTGGTGGGTGGGTGGGTTGGGTTTGGTTGGCTGTGCAGATTTGGGTCCTTGTATTGGCTGGGAAAGAGATTCTCTGAAATGCATATAGATCAAGTCACCAGTAAGCGTCATGCCTAAGTCTTCACTTCTTCAAATCAGGCAGGCCATGGATGCAAGCAAAAGGTTGAACAAGGCATCTGTCTGTGATGTGATGTGAGCTGTCCTGTGTGTGTCGTGTCACAGGGTTTCCCCCTGGAATACACGGGGCACGAGTGGGACGAGGAGCCGTTGCGAGTGCTGGTGGTGCCACACTCCCACAACGACCCGGGCTGGCTGGAGACGGTGGAGGAGTATTACAGGTCGAGCACTTGCGGCATCATTGACACCATCGTCAACGCCCTCTCCGAGGTGTGCTTATAACGAGTATTTTCTATGAGAGTGGTGCTTATAGTGAGGATGCTTGGTGTGGTTCAGTTCAGCTCTGGTGCAGGAAGTAAGCCTGGTTGTTGTTGCCTGTGCCTGGACTGGTCTACCGTCTACCCCGTCCCTAAAGCTGCTGTCTGTCTTTCTCCCTCTCTGTTGGCTCTCATCCCCTTTAGAAACCGACTCGCAAGTTCATATGGGAGGAGATGTCGTACCTGTCGCGGTGGTGGATGGACGCGAGTGAGGAGATGAAGGGCAAGCTCAAGGCGCTGCTGCGGAACGGCCAGCTCGAGATCGTGGGCGGCGGATGGGTCATGAACGATGAGGTGCGGTGGGGATGGTTCATGAACGACTAGGTGAGGTGGGGGAAATGGGTAGTGAATGATGCGATGATGAGTTGGACGAGGATGGTTGCAGAAGCGTTTTGTCTCGTTCAGTGTTGCTCTCTAAACTTTATTGAACGCCCTTATGAATGTCTATCCCATACTTCATGCCCATTGCCCTATGCCCCCATATCTCACACAGAATGTCCCATGCCACCATGCCCCAAACTTGATGCCCTGTGCACTGTACCTCATGCTCCAGGACCATCTTCCATGTTCCCCGTACCCCATGCCCGATGCCCCATGCCCGATGCCCCATGCCCGATGCCCAATGCCCCATGCCCCATGCCCCATGCCCCATGCCCGATGCCCGATGCCCGATACCCCATGCCTCGTTCACAATGCCCCATGTCCCATACCCCATGCTCCATGTGCCATGCGGCCATGCTCCAAGCTCCATGCCATGCCCGATGATCCATGGCATGACCCATGCCCCATGCCCTATACCCCATGGTCCATACCATGCCCAATGACCCATGGCTCATGCCCCATATCCGATTCCCAGAATGCAGCCTCAGCTGTACACCCCTATCTGTCCGCGTCCGTGTGTGTGTGTGTGCAGGCAAACTCTCACTACTTCGCCATCCTCGAGCAGGTATCTTCACTCTCCTCCCCTCCCTTTCCCGTTCTTTACTTCCCCCTTTTCTTCCGTCCCTTCCCTTCCCTTCCCTTCTCCGTTCCCTTCTCCCTTCCCTTCCCTTCCCTTCCCTTCCGTTCCCTTCCGTTCCCACCCCTCCCCTTCCCTTCCTCTTTGCTTCGAGGCGAACCGAACAGGTTTTTTTCTTTGGCTTAAAGTGTTCGTGACAAACGTGTTAGAGGTTCGCCCGAACACATTCGTGTTCAGGCCGCTGCTGCAATTTGCCCCGCGTTGAACACGAACGTGTTCGATGTTCGCCCGAACACGCCTTCACAGGCGAACACCGAACATCTGTTTTTGCTAAAAGTGTTCGCCGAGCCGAACAGTGTTCAGTTCGGCGAACGGCTGTGTTCGTGCAGGGGCAAACACGAACGTGTTCGTGTTCGCCCCTTGCTCATCCCTACTCATGCATTCTCCATTCCTAAGCCAGCGTGACCATTTCCAAGCAACCCTTTCTCTGGACAACCTTGCATCCCTCGTTCCATCCCTCCCTACTCTGCTACCTTTACGCCACCAACTCCACTACCCCGACCCTTCCCATCCCCTCCCTCCCCCCGTCCCCCTCTTCCCGCCCTCCTTCTCCCCCTTCCCCCCACCCCATCCCCCAACCCAGATAACGGAGGGCAACACGTGGCTGCACGATGCAGTGGGGGTGGTGCCCACCAACTCATGGTCCATCGACCCATTCGGCTACAGTGCCACCATGCCCTACCTGCTGCTCCACTCCTTCACACGCCTCAGGAACAATTTCTCACTCCATCCTTCTCTCCCCTGCTCCATTCCACTCCCTCCTCCCCCCGCCCCCCTCTTCCCCCCTCTGCCTCCCCTGGCACATCTCCTCTCCCCCTTCCCTCTCCCCCCCCGCTCTCCCCACCACATCAGATAACGGAGGGCAACACGTGGCTGCACGATGCAGTGGGGGTGGTGCCCACCAACTCATGGTCCATCGACCCATTCGGCTACAGCGCCACCATGCCCTACCTGCTGCACCAGTCCGGCTTCCACAACATGCTCATTCAGCGCGTGCACTACGAGATCAAGAAAGTCTTAGCTAAGCGCCGACACTTAGAGTTCTACTGGCGCCAGGCGTGGGATAAGAGCGGCGGGAAGACGACCCTGGGGCCGGGAGGGGATGGTGGGGGGGAACAGGGGAGTGGGGAATCAGGGGTGGGTGAACAGTCAGCAGCAGCAGGCGGGGCAGCAGCAGCAGCCGCAGCAGAGGGTGCAGCAGAAGCAGGAGCAGGAGCAGCGGGGAAGACAGACATTCTATGCCACATGATGCCATTCTACTCGTACGACATCCCACACACGTGCGGGCCAGACCCCTCTGTGTGCTGTCAGTTTGACTTTGCTCGCACGGCTGGTGGCGAGCACTCCTGCCCGTGGGGCATGCCTGCTGTGGATATCACACCTCAGAACGTGGCAGAGAGGGCAGCGACCATTCTGGACCAGGTGAGGATCCTCCCTTCCTGGCCCTGTCTGTCCGTCTCACTGCCCTTCTGTGCGCTGTCAGTTTGACTTTGCTTGCACAGCTGGTGGCGAGTACTCGTGCCCCTGGGGCACTCCTGCTGTGGATATCACACCTCAGAACGTCGCAAAGAGGGCAGCGACCATCCTTGACCAGGTGAGCCCCCCTTGTCGGTTTAGGCCCGTCTGTCTGTCCGTTCCGCCTGACTCTCTGATTCCTTCATCGCTCCAACGTGGTGCTCGTCCCATTGGGGTCGACTTGCACTGCCCCATCCCGCCCACCTTGAACAAGGCCCATTGGCAGTTCTATACCTCCTAACTTCCCCCTCCCGTCACCTACCCCCCACCTTGACTTTCTCCTCCTTGTGCCGCCCCCAACCTTCCCTGACCCCCACCCTTATCCACCCTTCTCTGCCTGCCTCCCACCAGTGGCGCAAGAAGGCTCTGCTGTATCGCACCAAGGTGGTGCTGGCTGGAAGAGAAGTTGGCAAACACTATGCAGGAACGTGACACAGTCCTTGAACTAACAAAGAAAGTTGCCAGTTTGGCAGAGAAGTTGGCGAACAAGAATTTCACAATGGAGCTCACAGATTCCGTTGCTGACCAAGTGGTTTTTTATATCTGTGAGCTCCATGGTGAAATCCTTGTTGACCAACTTCTCTTCCAAACTGGCAACTTTCTTGGTTAGTTCAAGGACTTTGTCACGTTCCTGCATAGTTCAAGGACGAGTTCCGCTACCCAACCATGCGGGAGGCACACAGCCAGCTCCCATAAGCTCCCATCCCCCCATCCCATCTGCCTGTGTTCCACCAGTGCCGCAAGAAGGCCCTCCTCTATCGCTCCAAGGTTGTCCTGGTTCCTCTGGGCGACGATTTCCGGTACCCCACCATGCGGGAGGCCCACGCCCAGTTCACCAACTATGAGCGCCTTTTTGACCACCTCAACACCTACTCCCGTCAACTGTTGTTTTCTCTCCGTCTTTCCCCTGCCCCAACTCTTCCCCTCCCCCCGCCTTTCCCCCCGCCCACCCACCACCTCTGCTTCCCCTCAGTGGCGCAAGAAATCCCTTCTCTATCGCTCCAAGGTCGTCCTGGTCCCTCTGGGGGACGATTTCCGCTACCCCACCATGCTGGAGGCGCACGCCCAGTTCACCAACTATGAAAGCCTCTTTGACTATTTCAACTCCCGCCCGGACCTTCGAGTCAACGCCAGCTTCGGCACCCTTGGGGACTATTTCAATGCTGTCAGAGAGGCTGCTGTTAGGGAGGCTACTCTCCATAGCAAGGGCGCTGTTATCGGGGCTACTTCTGTTGACGAGGTTGCTGCTGTTAACGAAGCGTCTCTTAACGAAGCCCAGCAGGACCTTCCGTCCGAGCACCCGGTGTTCACCTCCCACGAACTCTCATCCGAGCCCACCACCATCTCCACCCGCCACCTTCTCTCCACACACCCCTCCTCCCACCCCTCCTCTCTCCTCTCCTCGATCCCCGCCTCTCACCCCTCCGCTCTCGCTGCCCACCTCTACTCCCTCCCCCCCTCGCTCCGCCCGAACCTGCCCTCCCTCTCTGGAGACTTTTTCACATACGCGGACCGAGAGCAGGATTACTGGAGCGGGTATTTCACCTCTCGCCCCTTCTGGAAAGCCGTAGACCGTGTGCTAGAGTCTGCTGTACGAGCAGCAGATATCCTCTTTGCTCTGACGTGGTCTCAGCTGCAGGCGAGAGGGGGTGGCGGAGGGGGGGGGCTGATGACGCGGATGCTGGGGGGAGCGAGTAAGGAGGGGGGAGAGGTGGGGGAGGTGATGGAGAGATTGGCAGAGCAGGCGGAGTGGATGGGGAAGGGAGCGGGGAAGGGTGGGAGGGGGGTGGGGGGAGGGCAGCGTGGGGAGGACAACTTCCTGCATCTCCTGTTTCCCCTCAAGTGAGTGCTCGATTGACTGACGTTTGATTGCTTTTCAGTGACTCAGAATAGATTCAGAGGCAGTGCGGGCAGGGTCATCTCCAATGGGGCACCTTGGCAGCAGGCTAGCAGCAATCAATCAACCCTGCTTTTCCCATTCTGCTCCTTTGCCTTGCAGCTTTGCAGAGCAGCTGGTTCGCGCGCGGCGCATCTTGGCGCTGTTCCAACATCACGACGGCATCACCGGCACGCCGTGAGTGAGGCGCCTTAACAACAACCCCCCCCCCCCCCCCCCCTCTCCCCTTTCCCCGTTTCACCAGTTTTGCAGAGAGGCTGGTTCGCGCACGGCGCAACTTGGCGCTGTTCCAACACCACGACGGCATCACTGGCACGGCGCGGGACCCTGTGGTGATGGACTATGGGCTTCGCATGCACACCGCCCTTAATGACCTCAATGTACGTGCCCCTTGATAGGCAGTGGGGCCACGGGCAAATTTCCTGTTACAGCTTCTAGCACACGGGAATCTGTGGTGGTGGACTATGGGCTTCGCATGCACACTGCTCTTAATGACCTCAATGTACGTGCGGCTCCTTCCCTCCTTCTCTATCTCCTCCTTCCCTGTCAAAACTCCACCTTTTCATCAGGACCCGATGTGTGCTGCTACAGCTCCCCTATCTTATTACGCTGCATAATCAACCTCTCCCATCCCTGTTTCCCCCATCGTCCCCTGCCCTCCTGCCCACTCAACCTGTAAGCCTCTCTTTTTCCATTCTTTTCTTAATTATTTTCTTTTCTTTTTCTTGCAGGACCTCATGTGTGCGGCGGTGGTGGCGCTGCTATCAGACTCGCCCACGCAGGACCCTGAGAAGTCCCCCGTTCACCTGCGCCCAGAGCAGCACCGCAACCTGCAGCACATCCTGCCCGCCCACTTTTCCCCCATTCTCCCCCCCCTTCCCCTCTTCCCTTCTTCCCCCTTTGTGTCCACTCATCCTCATATATTTCTCCCGTTCTTTCCTTGTCCATTCCGAATCTTCCCGGCAGGACCTCATGTGTGCGGCGGTGGTGGCGCTGCTGTCAGACTCGCCCACGCAGGACCCTGAGAAGTCCCCCGTCCAGCTGCGCCCAGAGCAGCACCGCACCCAGCAGCACATCCTGCCCTCCCACCTCCCCCTCTCCTTCCCCTCCTTCCCCTCCTCCACTCCCCTGTCTGTTTTAGCCAGAGAGCCTGCAGGGGTGGGTGGTGGAGGAGAGGGAGGGGGGAGGGAAAAAGTGGGAGCAGCGGGGACGGGGGTTGGAGGAGGAGAATTGGGAGGGGAGGCAGCAGGGGCTGGAGCAGGGATGGGAGGAGGGGTTGGGGGAGGTGACAGTGGGGAAGGTGGGACTGGGGGAGGCGTGGATGTGGGAGGCAGGCGGCGTGTTCTGGAGGTGAAAGTAGGGGAGCAGTCAGGCACGGAGCGGAAGGGGCTAGAGGTGCAGGAGGGGCAGGGAGGGGAGGGTGGCACGGTGCGGCGCGTTGTGGTGTATAACCCTCTGGAGGAGGAGGTGAAGCAGGTGAGCAAGGGGATGAAAGAGAGGAGATGAGAAGGAAGATGAGAGGGGAGCAGGGAGGGTTAGGGGCCGTGCGGCGCTTTGTGGTGTATAATCCGCTGGAAGAGGAGTTGAAGCAGGCGAGCAAGGGGAAGATGAAAAGGGAGCAGGGAGAGAGTGGCACGGTGCGGCGCATTGTTGTGTATACCCCTCTGCAAGAGGAGGTGAAGCAGGTGAGGGAGAAGAGCAGAGAAGCAGGCACGGATTTGTTCCTCTGTTTCTGAACTCGGACGGCCCCAAGTGCTTCGTGCCGAGCTTATGCCGTTCCCTCCCCCCCCCTCCCCTCTTCTCCTCTTCCCCCACCCCCGCCCCACTTCCCTCACAGGTCATCTCTGTGGTGGTGGAAATCCCTCTCGTTGCAGTGCTCGGCCCCAAGGGCACCTGCCTGCCAGCGCAGCTCATGCCAACACCCTGACCCACCCTCTTCTTCCCCTTACACCTCCCTCCTCTCCCCTCTCCCAACCCGTTTTCCACTCGTTTCCTTCCTTCTCAGATCATCTCAGTGGTGGTGGAGATCTCGCTGGTCTCAGTGCTCAGCCCTAAGGGCACGTGCCTTCCCGCCCAGATCATGCCAGAGTGGGTCAACCCGCCCCCTTTCACTCCCAAGCCTCTCCAAAACGCCACCTCTACCACCACAGCTAGTAGCGGCACTCTCCCAACTGACACCTCCACTGCTGCTGCCACAGCCACAGCTGGAGCCACTGCTGCTGCTGCTGAGTCTGCTGCCCCTCTGTCTGTCACAACAGGGAGACACAGGTTGTTCTGGGTAGCCACAGTGCCGGCTCTCGGTCTCCAAACCTTCGTGGTCGGCCCGCCCGAAACTTTGCCCAACTGCCCGGCAGCAGAGCTCTCGCGCGTCGAAGTTTCCAACCCGCCCGCGGGATTCGTTTGCCCGAAGCCGTATAACTGCACCGTGCACGATCCAAAGGAGGACGACGCCTTTTCGATCGGGAACCACGAGCAGCGAGTCAGATTCTACGCTGCGAGTGGACTCATGAAGAATATCCAGCATAGGAGAATCATCAGGGACACAATAGTGGACGAGCAATTCGCAGTGTATACCGGTCGGAGTGGGGCGTATCTGTTTCTCCCTGGTGGTGACGCGGTCCCTATAGTAACTGACGGTGGTGCGTCGTTTATATCCCGAGGGGAGGTAGCAGAGGAGGTGCATACAGTGTTTAGTTTCCTGCCTGTGGAAGCGTGGGACGGGACAGGGCAGATGCTGGGGGAATGGGAGCTGCAGCAGCGGCGGCAGTGGCGGCTGCAGAGGCGGAAGCAGCAGCTGCAGCAGCAGCGGCAGAGGCAGCAGCAGCAGCAGCAACAGGGGCTGCAAAGGCAACGGGATAGGGAGGCACAGGGTGGAGGTGGAGGGGACAAGGGGCTGAGAGTATTGAGAGAATCACTGAGGAATGCTGCTTTGAACCATTTGCAATCTTACGGGCACAGGCATGGGCATGGGCATGGGCATGGGCATGGGCATGGGCACGAGCATTGGCTTGAGCGTGAGAATCCACATTTGCATGAGCACTTGCATGAGCATGAGCGTATGCGTATGCATCAGATGGACAGGAACGAGAATACACAAGCACAGGCGGTTGCAAGGATGCCCGGGGATGAGCATTGGCTTGAGGATTCACACGCGCAGGCGCTGGCACAGGGACAGGCGCAGGTGCAGGCGCAGGTGCAGGCGCAGGCGCAGGTGCAGGCGCAGGCGCAGTTGCAGGGGCAGATTGGAGGCCGAGGGGAGCAGCAGGAGGTTCGGCCGTTGAGTGAGGTGGAGGCGATGAGGCAGAGACTAAGACAGCGGGCACAGCCGGGGGATGTGGTGCTGTGGCAGCAGGATCAGGAAGGGCAGGGCGGGCAGGGGGGGCAGGGGGGGCTGGGCGGGCAGGGAGGGCACGGAGGGCAAGGAGGGGAGGGAGGGCAAGGAGGGGAGGGAGGGCGAGGGGTGAGTTTGCAGCAGCTGCAGTACCCAGAAGTGGAAGTGGGGCCGTATTCAGGGAGAATGCAGCAGCTGAGACAGTTCCAGGTGGCTAGGAGACGGCTGCTGGGGGAGAGTGGTGGTGTGGGAGAGGATGAGGAGGAGGATGAAGAAGTTGCTGCTGGTGATGATGAAGGAGAGGAGGAAGAGGAGGAAGAGGAGGAAGAGGAGGATGAAGTTGTTGCTGCTGCTGATAATGAGGGAGAGGAGGAGGCTGAGGAGGAGGAGGGTGAGGAAAACGAAGATGGAGATCACACCCAGGCAGATCACATCCTTGCACCTGAAGAACATGCTGTGGTTGAGAACCACGCAGGGGGGGTATCAGAGGCTGCAGCAGAAATGGTGGGTGGGGATGGGGAGGCATTGGTTGGGGGTTTGAGGAGAAAGCTTTTGCAGGTGAGGCGTAAGGGAAGGAAGAAGAGGAAGGGCAGGAAGGGGAGGAAGAGAAGTGTGAGTGGGGCAAGTGGGGAGGATGGTGGTGTTGCCAGTGGTGAAATTGGCAGGGCTGATGAAATGGCAGGGTTGGGGGGGAGTGGGAGCGGTGCTGCTGCTGATGTCGATGGTAGGGGGGCAGCGGTAGGGACGAGGAAGAAGGGACGGAAAGGGAAGCTGAAACGGAGGAAAAGAAGGGGGCAGCACCAGGAAGGGACAACCGATGCAAGTGGCGCTGTTGGTGCTGCTGGTGATGCTGGTGGTGGTGATGGTGGTGGTACTGAAGGTGCGACAGGTGCAGTTTCAGGAGAGAGATTGGGTGAAGGAGCCCTGAGTGGAGCAGGAACGCTCAGGTTTCATGGAGGGCTGCCAGTAGTAGGGATGGGAGAAGGAGGGGTGGGAACAGGAGGGGTGGGAGCAGGAGGGGAGGTTGGTCATAGGATCCGGAAGAGAGTACATGATGGCAGTGACTTTGACGCTGCTGCTAGATCGGAATTGCCTGAGCAGGTCATTACAGTGCACAGCACAGATAATGATGCTGGTGGTGGTGATGGTACCGGTACTGGTGTTGGTGGTGCCGGTGCTGATGCTGGTGATGTTGGTGGTGGTGGTGTTGATGCTGAGAGCAAAGGCGGGGCGGATGGAGGGGCGGACGAGGGGCACGAGGTGGGAGTGGAGGAGGACGAAGGGGAGCAAGAAAGGCCTGACCCAGCGAGTCTAGACGTGACCCGCCGCGACTGGGAGAGCAGCAGCGGCGACGGCGGTGGCGGCAGTGGGGAGCAGGGCAGTCAGGAGGGTGAGGGTGATCTCGACTTGGACGAGCTCCAGAAGGCAGCAGAGGCTGCAGCCAAGATGGATAAGCAAGGGTGGGAGGAGGCGGCGGATGGGCTGGAGGAGCCGCAGGTCCTGGAGGAGCCATTGTTGGAGGAGGAGGAACCTCTCATGCCGGTCGTGCGCTCTGTCATGCTCTACAAAGTCAGGGCCCCTCAGGTGCGTTTTCAGAACCGCTGGAGGAGCCGCAGGTCCTGGAGGAGCCATTGCTGGACGAGGAGGACGAGGGGCACGTGATGCCTGTTGTGCGCTCTGTCATGCTCTACAAAGTCAGTGCCCCTCAGGTGAGTCCTCAGGTGTTTTTCATGCTCTACAAAGGCAGGTTGCCTCAGGTGCGTTCTCAGCACCATGAGCAGCATCTAGCACCATGAGCAGCATCTAGCACCATGAGCAGCATCTAGCACCATGAGCAGCATCTAGCACCATGAGCAGCATCTAGCACCATGAGCAGCATCTAGCACCTGCTCTCTCCCTGTCTCCCGATCTCAATCCCAGCCCCTCCCTGTGCGCCCTGCCCCTCTGCGTCAATCCCATCCCACCCACCAGGGCCTGCTGATAGAAGCACGCCATCATGTGAACATCTCATCAACGGCAGTGGACATCAAGGAACTCGTGGTGCGCTACCACCCCAACCCTCACTCCTTCCCATCCCACCCACCAGGGCCTGCTGATAGAAACGCGCCACTGGGTGAACATCTCATCAACAGCAGTGGGCAACAAGGAGCTCGTAGTGCGCTACCGCACGTCCATCGCCTCCTCCCCCCTCTTCTACACCGACTCTAACGGCTTCCAGACCGTCTGCTGGGAGACCCTTGTAGCACGTTACCGCACCAACCCTGACTCCTCTTCCCTGCCTTCCCTGTGCGCCCTGTCCCTCTGCACCCCTCCCATCCCCCCTGCACCAGGGCCTGCTGATAGAGACCAAGCACCTAGTCAACATCTCATCAACAGCAGTGGACAACAAGGAGCTCGTCGTGCGCTACCGCACGTCCATCGACTCCTCACACCTCTTCCACACCGACTCCAACGGCTTCCAGACCGTTCGCCGCGAGACGCTCCCCAAGCTGCCCACGCAGGGCAACTTCTACCCCATGCCCGCCCTCGCGTTTATTCAAGACCCCTCTGGAATCCGGTTCTCCGTTCACACGCGCCAGGCTGTGGGCGTGGCCAGCCTTAAGGTGAGCTGTGTGTGTGTGCATAGCTTTGTGTTTCAGGTGTGTACGTGTATCTACATTCATACCTTATCACTGCCGTCTCTGCCACCTCTGCGTCCTTAGTCACTCCGTCTTCTCCTCTCCACCCCCGTGCTCCTTCCCTGCATCAGACCGGCTGGTTGGAGATGATGTTGGATCGCTGGCTCTCACAGGACGACAACAGGGGCATGCAGCAGGGCGTGTTGGACAACCACCCCCCTTACTCTCTCGCGCTCTTACTAATTCCCTCGTTTCATCCCCCCCCCCACTCGCCACACCAGACTGGCTGGTTGGAGATGATGTTGGATCGCCGGCTCTCACAGGATGACAACAGGGGCATGCAGCAGGGAGTGTTAGACAACCACCCCACACAAACCATTTTCCATCTCGTTCTCGAAAGAAACACCTCCGCCCGCCCCTTCCCCTCCGCCTCCTCCTCCGCCGCCCTCCTCCCCTCCCTCACTTCGCAACGAATTGGCTCGCGCCTCAACTACCCGCCGTATCTCTTTGTCGGGCAGCCCGAAAGCCCGTCGAAATTCGTTTCCGGGCAGGATGTAGATGCCGGACGAGGGGCTGGCAAGAAGGGGAGTGGCAGTAGCAGCAGCAAGGCAGTGAAACCGGGTGTTTTGGCTGGCACTGTGGAGCCGAAGCCGGGCGGCCTTGGTTGGACGTATTCTCCACTGGGCCGCCCATTACCGTGTAACATGCATGTGGTCAGCTTCAAGGTGCATCGGCCCATGCCCAATGCCTCGGTACGTGCTCCCCCTGCTCCCCCTCCATTTCCCTCCATTTCCCTCCATTTCCCTCCATTTCCCTCCATTTTCCTCTCGGTACGTGCTCCCTCTGCTCCCCCTCCATACCCTCCTCCTTGCGTTGCACTTCTGCATGCTCACTTTTCCACTTAGTTTCCTCCCCTGCTACAAGCTCTCTCTAGCCCCATTTCAGTGCTCTGAGCCGTCTCTAACCCCTGTGCTGCCCCAACACCTATGGGGGCTCGGCTCCCATCCTGCAGCTCTTAGCAACCTCGTTCACTCACCTCCTTTTTCTCTCTCCTCTCACACTCTCAAGCAGCTCACCCGGCTCTTTACAACCTCCTCTTTCTTTCTCTTCCCACTCCCGCTCTCAGGTGCACTCTGAGCCGCCTCTAGCGCTCGTTGCAGGGGCTTCGATCACAGCTTTGGGGACTCGCACCGCGAGGCTCCCTGCAAGCTCACCCAGCTCTTTACAACCTCCTCTCCCCACTCTGTCTCCCTTTCTCTCCCGCTCTCAGGTGCATTCCGAGCCGCCTCTAGCCCTGGTGCTGCACCGCAGGGGCTTCGATCACAGCTTTGGGGGCGCGCATCGTGAGGCTCCCTGCAAGGTCACCCCCACTGGCCAAGTGCACCTCGCGCGTCTCTTCTCCGGCGCTTATGTAACAGAGTTCGAGGAGTTCCCACTTAACCTCGTCCGACCCAGCCCAATAGCAGCAGATTTGGGGTCGCCTGGTCAGGGTTCGGAGGATTCAGTGGGAGTGGGAGGGAGAGAGGGGGGGAACAGGACAAGGGGAGGGATGAGCGCGGCGGGGGCGTTTGCGAAGAGAGCATGGCAGCAGAGAGTGAGAGGCGGGGTGACGAGCCTCAAGTTGGAAGTGATGGAGCTGAAGGCTGTCAAGCTGCAGATGACGATGAAGGCACGCAGGAAAGGGTGGGGGAGGTGGAGGAGTAAGTGAAACCATGGTGATCTTGATATTGTCAAATGGGGGAAATGAAATTGTGGATGTTTTCAAATGATCAGGGTAATAAATTCGTGTTCTAGTCTAGGCCAAAAGTATGAATTGTTCAATTTTCTATACCTCATCTTAATTTTAGCAATAGCTTTAAGCCATCCACCGTCTCCAACCGTAGCGGACCGTGCTATTAGCCCCTCAGTGACGTAAACTCTACACTCGAATCCAATGTGGTGAAGAAAAGCAGGGTTCGCCATTGTTCGGCAGCCATAGCCACCCGCAACAGCACAAGCCTGTGAGCACTTCTCGCTCCTGCTGCCGTCACTTGCGCTATTGTTGCGTGATAAGCAGCTGTCGAATCAGTTCGACAAGGCTTTTTGTCAAGGCAACTGATACTGTAGCTCGCGAACATGCCGTACACCGGAAAGAGCTCGCTCGCTCTTGTAAGCGTTTACTTCCTCGTTTTTTTGTCGCGATCCCTTCCATTAGTGAACCCTGCTTCGTGTGTGTTTCTTGCATCCGATTGTCGAACGACAAGCGCTTGTAACCGTCGGATCTGTCTACGTCATCTCAGCCAGTCAGGCTTCGACGCGTGTGAAGTTTTCTCACGAATCTCGCTGATTCTTTCCGCAGATCGCGAGGGTTTCTGCAGTTGGAGTGGGTGTCGCCTACGGCGCGACGATGCTCACGTACCTGCGGGTACGATCTCCTTCTCATTCCTCGTTTTCTTAGGACTCCTGGTCTGCGTTCATTTCATTCGTGAGCGGTTGACTTGCCAACTCTGATTGTGGCTGTTGGCGTGGGTATCGCCTACGGTGCGACGATGCTCACGTACCTGCGGGTAGGACTACCTTCGCCTCCTTGCCTTGGCACACTTGATTCGTGATCCTTCAGTGTGTGAAGTCCAGATTTGTTAAATACCCATTGTGACTGTTGGAGTGGGTGTCGCGTACGGTGCGACGATGCTCACGTACCTCCGGGTAGCTTCGCGTGCTTTCCTGCCGGGATACCTGATCTTTCGAATCGTGATCAGTTCATCATTTTCAATTTGCGAACTCTCATTGTGGCTGCTGTCGTGTGGTTGTCGCCGACGGCGTCACCATGCTAACATACCTCCGGTTATTATCTCCCTTCCTGCGTCTTTGCCTTAGGCCACGTTATTTTTGTGAATACTCAAACTCTTCTTATGACTTATGGTTCTCTTACGAGCCAACGACGCCACCCACGACGCCACCCCTTGCTCACATTCCTTCAGGCCCTCTCATGTGCCGGTTGTGTATTATTTTGAAGCCCTTTTCTGATTTTCCGCTGTTTGTTTTCCGTGCTTGCCACCCTGATTGCACAGGCAAAGAAGGCTGCAGCTGCAAAGAAGAATCCTGGCCTCCATTAACATGGATATGCCATGAATGACTCTGGTGTATTATGAATATATTGCTTTAATGACAGGAGACACATTCTGCAAGGCATAGTGAAGCAGGCCTATCCTGTTGTACCAAGCCTTCCTTTGTGCCCTTCATTGTCGAACAGCGGTGAACATGCATTTGCATGTCAGAAGCTACGCAACTGTCATGTTACACCCATCTGAGGCAGCGGTAATACATTGTACTTTTCAACCGATGGTGTTACATTAGAATGGATATAACATCTACCAGCCACTGCCACTCCCACCCAGATGTCTGGGTCTCAGCAGCAGTAGTACCCTGCATACTGGGTGGCTTCCGAGAGGTGAGAGAGGAACAGCAACACCGGCTGCTCCTACCACTCGCTGTCGGTCCCCTGCACTCTGCTCACAAACTGCACGCCCTTCCCCCGCCGCTTCCTCTTCACCGTCAGATGATCCGCCAGCGACGGCTCAAACGCCCAGAACTGCATCCCAGGCACCTGCCACCAGTACGAGTCCACCGGGTCGTTCACAAAAAACCTCTCCACCAGCTTCCGAGCGCCCTCCAGCGACACTATATACGCGAACGAGCACCACACGAGTGGGGATATAACCACGTGTTGGGAGAGCTTTGGGTAGTAGAACGAAGTCATGATGCCGGATTTTCCGAGGAAGACTATATCGGGGCGGAATGGGTTGATCTCCCGTGTGATCACCTCGTTGGCCTCCGCTACGTCTCGCTCGAACACCTCTTTGAAAGAGTGCGTTAAGAACCGCACGTCGTCTTCGAATATTATGGCGTATGGGAGCTGCCTTCGCACGACCTCCAGCCAGACGAAGTAGTGGGAGAGCGCGCACCCGACCTCGCCCTTGCTCAGGGTCGGCCGAGCCTGCTTCTCCTGCCACCACGGCGTGGTTCGGGTGCGTGCCCGATGCTCCTTGTCCACCAGGTGAGTCACCACCTGGTAGTCTGTGTTGGAGATGGAAATGCCGTTCGCCTTGACTATCTCTCCGAATCCCTGCTGCTGCAGCACGGGTTCCAATGAGACGAACCGGTCAGCGTCTTCAGCCAATCCGATCACGAATGTCGGCCACATCGCCAGTTTGGGCGGCATGGATCGCATCACCACGCGCACACCTGCAGGTGGTTTCATCCCTGGCACCTGGAAAATCACCTGAGAATTCACCCGGAGATTCACCTGGAGATTCACCTGGGAACCTGACCCTGGCACCTGCAGAATATCCTGGTGAGATCGAATCAGGCACTGCGCAGGTGTCCCACAATCGGCATCCACGGCAATGGTAGCCCTAGCTCCCGCTTCCCCCAATGCCTGTCTCACCCAATCCTTCTTCACAATATTCCCCCTGATTCGGGGGTGCCCGGGAAAGCTGAGGAAGAGAGTTTCCCGGCAGGCGGAGGAGAGGCGCGAGGAGGAATGGAGGTCGAGGGGCGGAGCGCGGCAGGGCTTGGGGCGGCACATGAACATCTGGGAGTTGAAGAGAGGAGGGTCTGCTGCTAGGATGTGTGCGTGCGGGACGGTGAAAAGTGCCTCTGATATTGGCCTGGTTGGGAAGCAGAGGGAGGGGGAACAAGGGGGAAAGTTTAGTCAAGGGTGAGGCGAATTGTGAAACTGGGGACGAAGGAAGGGACCATGAGAGGTTGGGGGGCGGATGGAGGAGCAAGTAGGATGCAAGAAAGACAAAGGGCTTGGGGCGGCACATGAACATCTGGGAGTTGAAGAGAGGCGGGTCTGCTGCTGGGATGTGCGCGTGCGGGACGGTGAAAAAGGCTTCTGATATTGGCCTGGTTGGGAAGCAGAGGGTGGGGGAACAAGGGGAAGAGTTGAGTCAAGAGTGAGGCGACTTGTGAGACAAGGGTGGAAGGAGGGGGCACGCGAGATTGATTGGGGGTTGGATGGAGGTGCAAGTACGATGCAGGGAGGACAAAGGAGTTGAAGAGAGGCGGGTCTGCTGCTAGGATGTGGGCATGTGGGACGGTGAAAAGTGCCTCTGATATCTGAGTGACTTTTGAGAATTCTCAAAAGTCACTCCAATATAGCTGGCCTGGTGGTGATGGGGTGGGTAAAGGGGGGAGAATTGAGTCAAGAGTGAGGCGAATGTTGAGACTGGGGACCGATGGAGGAAGGGGGTACGTGGGGTTGGGGGGCGGACAGGGGTGATGGGGGCGGATAGGGGTGATGGGGGTGATGGGGGGTGATGGGGGTGATGGGGGTGATGGGGGTGATCGGGGTGATGGGGGTGATGGGGGTGATGGGGGTGATGGGGGTGCTGCTCCAAGAATGGCGCGAGGGAGGAGCATGCACGTGGCAGCAGAGGAGGCACGTGCACATGCACGTGGCAGCAGAGGAGGCACGTGCACATGCACGTGGCTTCACGATGTTGGCCGTGAGCTGCTGCTCCAGGTAGGGCGCGAGGGCGATGAATGGGATGGGAGTAGCACCACATGCAATGGAAGGAGATGGATCATTCACACGTGTAGCTGCATGCGGGAGAGCATCTTCTTGGCGCCGGCATAGGATGAGGTACGCATGCGACCCCATGCTGGGCTGTGCCTTGAGAATGTTGGCTGTGAGCTGCTGCTCCGAGTAGGGCGCGAGGGCGGAGCGAGCGAGCAGCAGCAGAGGCAGTGGAAAGGATGGCTCACTCACACTTTAAGCCGCATTTGCGACAGCATTCTCTTGGCGCCGGCATATGTGATGAGGTAGGCGTGTGATCCCATGCTGGGCTGAGCCTTCAGAATGTTGGCTGTGAGCTGCTGCTCCGAGTAGGGCGCGAGGGCGGAGCGTGCCAGTAGCAGCACGTCAAAGAAGAAGCGGTTGCCGTTCTGGATTATGAGCAGGTTGAGCTGGCGTAGGAGCTGCATTCGGGGAAGTGTTGAGGGGTGGAAAGTGGTTGTGAGAGGTTGTGACAGATGGAGATGGGTTCTATAGGGCGGAGCGTGCCAGCAGCAGCACGTCAAAGAAGAAGCGGTTGCTGTTCTGGATTATCAGCAGGTTGAGCTGACGAAGTAGCTGCATGAGCTGTGAGAGGAAAGAGGTGAAGTCCCGGCGTGGGGACTAGAGCTGCAGTCCCGGCGTGGGGACTGGAGCTGCAGTCCCAGCTTGGGGACTGGAGCTGCAGTCCCGGCTTGGGGACTGGAGCTGCAGTCCCGGCTTGGGGACTGGAGCTGCAGTCCCGGCTTGGGGACTGGAGCTGCAGTCCCGGCTTGGGGACTGGAGCTGCAGTCCCGGCTTTGGGACTGGAGCTGCAGTCCCGGCTTTGGGACTGGAGCTGCACTCACCCCTTCACACATACCACATACCCTCCCCACTCACACTCACCACCCTCCCTCATACCTGCAAACACTCACTCCTTCCCACTCACTCACCCCTTCCATTCGCTGCTTCCACGCTGCATTCGAGTCCACCTCGTTCCGTGCATCGTCCTCAAACACCATCGCATATGGCAGCCGCAGCACCACCACCCTCGCCCACACCTCGAAATGCGCGAATGCGTATGCGAGGTCGTGGGGGTGGAAGGTGGAGCGCAGGGAGAGGGAGCGTGCCGGAAACACTGGGTCGTACCTGGAAAGGGAGAGTAAGGAGGGAAGGCAGGGACGGGAAGCAGTGGGGATGTGAGTGGAATGGCAGTAGCACAGCAGCATTTTTTAGTCGACTCAAGAAGCAGCATCACGCTCTCCAATAGCTTGAGCGTGCAAACGTGGTACGAGAGGCAGTGGGAAGGGAGGGAGGGCGAGAGGGTTGGTGCAAAGTGGTTTTTGAGAATACTCAAAAACCAGCTCGGGAAGGGAGGGAGGGGCAGAGGGTTGGTGCAAAACACGCACATGCTGATTGCATGTGTGTGCAATCACAGGTAGTGATTGATTGATTCCAGCATTTGGCTCCTCCGAGCATCACCACCTGCTTGCACTGCAGCCCTGGTGCTCGCACCTATAAACATGCACACACAACGTACTCTCTCTACCTCCCTTCCCTCCTCCCTCCCCCCACACACTTACCGGGCTTTAAACGGCTCTTCCAGCGCCATGGGCATCACCACCTGTGTGTACTGCAGCCCTGCTGCACGGAACCGCCGGTCAAGATTCTGCCAGAGAGCACAGGTGTGGGACAGAGCCAGGAGACACGCAAAGGCGAGAGGAGAGCACAGATGGGGGACAGAGCCAGGAGACACGCAAAGGCGAGAGGAGAGCACAGGGGAGAGCACGGGGGCAGATGTAACGGGAGGAGGGCAAGCCACAGGTGGCACGCAGAGAATCTCACCAGCCCTTTCCCGGCTCCACTGTGCAGATCACAGACACGCTCTCAGCAATCCTCCCCCGCAGCTTCAGGGGCAGCCCCGTGCAAAGCAGCAAGAGAGAGCGGAGGCAAACACAAGGCCGGGACAGCAAAGCAAACCGCAGCAAGCAGCAACTCTCACCATACCAGCAGAGTCTCACTTCTTCCCTTGCCCGGCTCGCCTGTCCCACTCACAAACGCGCTCTCAGCTTGCCAATCGTGCAGCTTCAAGGGCAGCCCCATGCGGCGCAGAAAGAGAGGCAGAGGCAATACAGGCAAAGAGAAGGCAGAGACACAGCAGCAAGCCTCACCATACCAGCAGCGTCTCTCTTCTTCCCTTGCCCGGCTCCCCCGTTCCGATGATAAACACGCTCTCAGCTTGCCACTCCCGCAGCTTCAACGGCAGCCCCGTGCGGCGCCGGGAGGGGTCCAGCGTGAGCAGGTGCACGGAGAAGTTTCTGGGAAGAAGCGGATCCGGCCAGGGGGCCTCCATTTCTCTAGCACGCTGTAGCTCGTTCAAACAGTCGTCCACTCCCCCTGCTGTTGCTGCTGCTGATACGTTGGCGGGTGAAATGAGAGCACCTCTAGTCGCAGCAGCAGCGTGAGCAGCACCTGTGGTTAGTGTTGCAGCTGCAGAGGCAGAAGGGCCTCTTTCCAACAGCGCTGCTCTCCTGCTACTGCTGTGCTCGCTGACGTTGCTAATGGCATTGCTGCTGGTGCTGCTGCTGCTGCCGCTGCCACTGCCGTGTTTCTCGGAGTCTGTCCCTCTCGTCTCTGCCCTACCACTCAGCTTTTGAGTCGACTCAAAAGCGTGTTTCTCGGAGTCTGTCCCTCTCGTCTCTGCCCTACCACTCACCCCACCACCACTACCCTTCCTCCTTCTTTTCCTCCCTTTACCACCTCTCCTCCTCGCCTCCATCCTCTTCCTCCTATCGCTCTCAACCACTCTCCGCCACTCCTTCCTACTCCTTGCCGCCTTCTCCCGCTTCTCCCACACCTCCACCCCGCCTCTCACAACCCCCCCAACTCTCTCCCACGTGGCATTCGCCAATTGGCTCCCGAACCCCACCAGTCTCCCCACCCACCCCCAACCCACCTTCCCCTTTTCTCTTTCCTGATCCTCCCCTTCCTCCTCCTCCCCTCCTTTCTCCCCCTCCTCCTCATTCTCCTGCCCATCCTCCTCCTCCACAGGCTGCTCTATTAGACTCTCTAGGGTTTTAAAATCCTCCGCGGAAAGCGGCGGCGCGGCGACCGCGGGAGTCGGATCCTCCGTCTCTTGCTCGGATTCGTCGCCCTGATGCGGGTTACTGCGGCTTGTCGCGTCGCCCGTCGCACGGCTTGCGTCGTCCACTGTGCGCGTGCGATTCGGGGGACGAATGAAGGAAAGGAGCCGCTGCGCGCGGAATGGCCGTTGCGGGTCGAACCGTCGTTGCAATTCGAATTCGCCGGTGAGGAGGAGGGAGAAGGCGAGTAGGATCGCGAGGGCGACGAAGCGGAGAGGCGTGGACCGCATGATGCGACCCGGGACCCGCCGAATCCGGCGGAAGAATGAAGGGGTGTGTGGCTGGACGGCGCGTGTCGGATGCGCCATAGCGGAGTGGAATCAGAGGTTGGCCATGGTGTCAGATGTGTGTCAGTGTTACGGGTGCAATGAATCGAGGTAGCGAGAATTGCACTAAGGTGTCAAAAGAGTACAAAATGTGAGCGAAGGCATGAGCGAACATTTATACGCGAAACATGCAAAACGGTAACGCGGTGCGTGCGAGCTTGCTAGTGCTACGCTGGAGCGAGGCTCGGGCTAGTCCCGAAGCGTAGGCCGATACGGCCATGCCAGCAGTGCGAGGTTTGGTAAAACAGTGCGCGCGAAGTCGGCGAAGTTCCGTTAGCAGTAACGGGCGAACAATCGGCTGTTGCTGTACGCGATGTAGTCGGCTCCGTAAGGAATGCCGAGAAAATTCCTTACACTACCCCCCCCCTCAAGAAGCCCCCTCCGCTACGCGAGTGCGTGTATATCGCGGAATCCCCGGCTCCTCAGGTACACTTGCAGGGCAGGGTGATTTTCGATGTTGCTCAGAGGCACCCAGCTATCTTCAGTTGGCGTGCGGTCTTTCCAGCGAACGAGGAATTCAATCCTCCTGATTCCCGTGGGGTGGCGGATCCGATGGCTCAGATTTTTTTCGGGCTCGATGATCGGCTCTGATGCAGGGCGAGTCATTGATTGTGGCCGGTGACGCGGCAGTTGACTTGTGGTCGGGATGTATGGGCGAAGTAGGCTGACGTGGAACGAAGGGCTGATGTACCAGTCGGTTGGCAACAGTAGGTGTGCGGTGACGGGTGTGATCATGTGACTGATTTGGAATGGTCCACAGTAGCGTGGTCGTAATTTTGGTACGTCGGGCAGTCGCAGATTTTGCGTGTCGAGTAGCACGTAATCTCCAGATTGATACGTGACGGGGCGGCGGTGGCGATCAGCGTTGCGCTTAGCGATGACGTTGGCCTTTTTTATTGCTTCGGCGGCTCTGGCGCGGGCAGCTTGCACGATTTCGGCGAATTGTTGTGCGCGTGGCGTTGGGTTGTCCGGACTCGGCGTCATGGGCACTGTGGGGTTCTGCCCATAGTTCAGGTAGAACGGGGACTGCTGCGTCGTGGCTGATGTGGCGTTGTTGTACGCGAACTCGATCAGCGGCAGCTGCTGCTCCCAGGTCGTGGGGTCGTCGCACGTGGCACGAATCAACTGCTCCATCGTCTGGTTCGTCCGCTCCGTTTGGCCGTCGGTCTCGGGGTGGTACGACGAACTGAACTGTAGCCTGGTCCCGAACTGCTCCCAGAGGTTCTTCCAGAAGTTGCTGGTAAATTTCGTGTCCCTGTCGCTGATAATTGCTGCTGGTATCCCGTGCAGGCGAACAACGGCTGCGATGAACAGGCGAGCCGAGGAGACGGCTGAGATCGACTTTTTGCACGCAGCGAAGTGTGCCATCTTCGTTAGCCTATCCACGACGACCATCACCGCGTCGTTACCCCCAGGGTTCGAAGGTAACCCTGTGACGAAGTCCATGGTTACTTGCTGCCAGGCGCGTTCGGGCGGTGGGATCGGCTGCAATTGACCCGCCTTCCGCTTCCTTGAACTCTTCATCACCTGACACGTCGGGCACGAGCCCACGTGCTGCTGTACGTCGGTCAACAGCTCCGGCCAGTAATAGTACCGCTGCAGTTGCTGTCGCGTTTTTTCTACCCCGAAATGTCCCGAGGTAATCCCGTCGTGTGCCTCCTGTAGTAGCAGCTCCCTCAGTAGTGAGTACGCGGGTACCCAAATGCGGTTGGTGCCTGCTTTTACGTAATAGACTCCTTTTGCTTCTGCCAGTTGCTGTGAATTTCCGGTCGTGAAAAATGGGTCGGTGCGGTATCCGTGGGTGAATAGGCCAGTTAAAAGCGGGTTGGTCTGGGCGAGTAGGATGGCATGGAGTTGGGCGGTGGGGCGGGTGAGAGCGTCGGCGATGTTGGATGCACCCTTTTTGTACGTAACGGTGTAGTGAAAATTGGACTCGAGATAGTCCAACCAGCGAATCTGTCGTGGGTTGAGATTCGGTTGGGCGCGAAGATACTGTAGCGAGCGGTGATCTGTCCGTACTGTCACGTCGGCGCCAGTCAGGTAACATCGCCAAACTTTGAACGCGTGCACGATCGCTAGCATCTCGCGGTCGTGTATCGGGTAGTTACGTTCGGGCGGGTGTAACTTGCGGGACTCGTACGCGATTGGCTGGAGGCCGTTCCCGAAATCCTGCAACAGTACTGCTCCCACAGCGATGTCACTTGCGTCGGTGACGAGCTCGAACGGACGGTGGGGATCTGCAATGTGAAGGACGGGCGGGGAGCACAAAATATTTTTGAGGGCCGAGAAGGCAGCTTGCTCTTTCTCCCCCCACGTGTACTCAACCCCCTTTCTCAGCAGGTCGGTCAACGGGGCAGTCAGCTTCGCCATGTCGGGGACGAACCGGCGCACGTAGTTGACGAACCCCAGGAAACTCTGCAACTCGGTCAAGTTGGTCGGCGCGTGCCAAGCTTGAATCGTCGCGATTTTCTTCGGGTCTATTTCCACTCCTGCAGCTGAAATAACATGTCCCAAAAACTCCAGGCGGTCCTGTAAAAACTCACACTTCGATGCTTTGGTCAGTAGGCGGTTCTCACTCAGGATTTTAAAAACTGCTTCGATGTCCTGTAAGTGCTGTGCTCTGTCAGGGCTGTAAATCAGTATGTCGTCCAGATAAACGATGACGCACTTATCTAAAAGCGGGCGGAATGCTTCGTTCATGGTCATTTGGAAAGTGGCGGGGGCGTTGGTCAGTCCGAATGGCATGACGGTGTATTCGAAGGATCCGTAGCGTGTTCGGAATGCGGTTTTAGGGCAGTCGGGTGGGTTGACGCGGATTTGGTGGTAGCCTCCTCGGAGGTCGATTTTCGAGAAAACCCGGGCTGTACGCAGTTGGTCGATCAGTTCGTCGGCTCGTGGAATGGGGTAACGGGATTTGATGGTAACCCTGTTTAGTGCCCTGTAGTCGATACACATGCGAAACCCCCCGTCCTTTTTCGGTGTGAACAGTATTGGTGCGGCGAAGGGCGACGAGCTAGGGCGAATGAATTCCTTTTCGAGCAGGTAATCGAGCTGCTTCCTTAGTTCGTCTAGTTCGGGTTGGGTCAGTCGGAACTGTCGCTGTACTGTTGGCTGTGCCCCCGGTTCCAATTCTATCCTGTGATCGTGCGGTCGCTGAGGTGGCAGTCCCGTTGGTAAGTCATCCGGGAAAATGTCACTGTACTGTTTTAACAGTGCCGCCAGGTCACTCGGTACGTCGGTCAGCAGTTTCTGTAAATCGCCCCCCTTGTCTGCTGCCTCGGCTTCCCGAATGTCAACCGCGTACACGTCAGCTCCGGCCGCAACAGCGCGTTTCATCGTGATCGCGTTGACACGCACCGACGAAGACTCAGGCGAGCCCCAGCGAGATAAGGCGATGTTGTTACCGTTTACTCGCACGGTGCAGTCACCCGTCGTCCAGTCAATTCGCGGATTGTGTCGTCGCAGCCAATCACGCCCGAGTAAAATGTCGGTTCCGTCGAGGGTCGTTGCGAGCATTTCCTGACTAAACGTGAAGTTACCCCCGCATCGAATCCGAACCCGGTCTACGCGTTCCCGTATTGCCAGCGGCGTGCCGTCTACCAGCCGTGCGTCGATCTCAGGTAAACATCGGTCCAGTGGCAGTCGCAGTTTGCGTGCTGTAGCAGTGTTAATGAGGCTGTGGCTGGCTCCCCCGTCTACGAAGATTTTAACTAAGTCCGTCCCAATTTTCCCACTGAGCAGTATAGGGCTATCTACCGTAGTACCCTCCTTATTCGGCCGGGTGTGGTCGATTGCGTGAACCGGCACAATCACTCGGTGAGGGTCGGTTGGGTCGGGCGAGCGGCGTGACCTGTCAGTAGAGGGCCCGTCTGCTACTGACTTCCAGCGTTTCCCTGCTGCTTGGTCTGTGTCTGCTGCTCAGCTTCCCCCTTTCCCTTAGCGTTTTCCGGGCATTCGCTCTTGCGATGTCCCGGCCGATTGCACGCAAAGCAGCGCCCTTTGAACGGTGCGGCAGCGGCATTTGCGGCGACGGCGCGTATCGTGGCGCTCTCGTTCGTCCCACGAGGCCGATGTCCCCAGTTGTTGTTTCCGTAGGACCCCGGTCTCGGTCGGCGAAAGAAGTCGAGCTTCTCCGCCATAGCGAGAATTTCCTGAAACTCAGTGACGCCGCGAAGCTGGATTTCCTGAGCGATGTCCTGCTTCAGGCCGCCGATGTAGCGGTCGATGCGTTCGCTCTCATGCATGTAGCCCACCTGCTCGCATAGCGCCAGAAATCCGCTCGTGTAATCCTGGACGGAACCGAGTTGGCGCCAAGTGCGGAGCTTCTGTCGCGCCGAGATCGAGGCCGCGATTGGCTCAAATCGAGCGCGCAGACCTGCGCACCACGCGTCCCACGTGCGATACTGGGGCACCTCCACGAAATACGACGGCGCCCAGGGTCCGGTTTGTCCTTCCCGTGTCGGTAGTGTCGCGTAGTCGGTCGGCTTCGTGACGATGACGCGCCACCAGTCCATGGCGGGTCCTCGCAGCAACGACACGGCGTATCGAATCTTCGCCGAGTCCTCCGAGACGTAGTTGGCGTCGAAGAAAACATTCATTGTGAATAACCACGCCTGAACGGTAGGACCACCCCGTTGACTCGGGTCAAAGCATGGCGGGCGCTGCGGCTTCAGCGGCATTGGTGACGGCAGTCCCGAATCGTGGGTTGGTGCCGAAATCGTGACGCGAGGCTGACTTGGGGCCGCAGGCGTCGCTCTGGGGTGTGTCGTGCCGTGGTCGTCGTCTCCGTCGGGGCGGACGACGCCATCACTGGCCGCGCTCGCGGGTTGCCCCACACTCCCGTGTTGTGATGTTGAGGGTGCAGGTTGAATCGGAGTGCCAGGTGCTTGAGATTGTGCTCTCAT